AAACATATTATTACTCAAATATCGTCGGCATGAGTCTTCTTTAGTTTGAACGAGATGAATCATTAAAAATGGCAGCTACGATTATGGCGTCAAATGGATACACAATGCAGCCCAAACATTCAAGAAGAACTCCAAAAAAGATGGGTGAACAGAGTATCAACCGGGTACCTCTGTGCCTGCCTTTCATTTCCGAACGAGTCACTGCCGCAATCAAACAATGCCTAGTACAAGCACAGTTGGAGAAAGACGTCATACTTATCAATATTCCGCGGGCTAACCTCAAGAGACAGTTAGTTCGCAACAGATTGTATGATAGTGCTTGTATTACACGAGACTGCGTAGTGTGCCCCTACGGAAGAGCAGGAGACTGCGCGAAGTGTGGCGTTGTCTATCAAATTGAATGTATGAGCTGCTCTGCCACTTATATTGGAGAAACAGGTCGGCCCTAAGAGTAAGGATAAGCGAGCATCTAGCCAGCAAAAAACGACAGAGTATAGTGTCCCCTTTAGGTAGACACAGAAATGTAGAGCACAACGGTGACGATTACAACATCAAATGCAAGATTCTGGCCTTCGAAGATCAAATCGCTGCCCGAAATTTTACATACTTGCACGTGACCCAAAAATGAACGGCAAGAATGAAAAGCTTTCTATCACAAGTGATCTATTGCCATATCTTGCGCTATGCGAACTATGAGATTGTCACCCTTACTTAAGCCATCTCATAGCGATCCAACTGCTCATTCGACAAGTTACTCGAGCACGTCCTGAAGCAGCATACGCTGCTGCCACGGTGATACACTCGGTGGGTAGACTTTCATGCCCAGTCTCTCAATCTCCACCCGAGACGAATCGAATACGCGGGTGTGAAGAGGTTTTGGCAGCAGGGAAAGTAATATCAGAGTGACTGACTCCTTTCCAGGCCTCTGAAGACGGTGTTTAACCGAAACGTAAGGCAGTAATAAAGTGTATCACCAATAAAAACCTGTACGGCATAGAAGAATTGTCAAAGTTATAAACTAAATGCCCAGGTTACAAGAAAAGAGGACTTATAGTTTAACTTCTAATTTCCTTTATCAAGCCAAATTTCTTTACAAGAAAACCTGTTCAAGGCATCCCAATAAAGCCGTCTGGATAAAATAGATGCTCTTTGCCATCCTCTATACACCGGACGTGTGCTGACGAGTTTCTTTGCTGAAAATGGCCCTTGGCAGTGCTTGCACATGACCCCACCTGCACCTCACCACTGACTTGTACCGCTTCGCTGGCTTGTAACTCGGCCTGCAGTCAATATTTGAGCCTGCAATTAGGCTCGTTCGAAAGAACGAGACCTCCTCTACACGATGGTATGCAAATAAGTTCAGTTTGAGCAGCCGCAGAGATTTGGCGGATGGGATGGTAGAGGGCAGCTTCAGTTGTAGTCTAAGCACTTTTCAGCTAAAGATGGAGAGAGCTCTCCTTTCGCTACCAAATTCATCCTGGAAGTTCAAAACAGTCAATTTTCTTGCATAGATCCACTTCGGAGCTCTAAGACTGTTCTGGTGTTCATAAGAGCTTTCACTCCAATCACCTCTAAGGCTGCACTTTTTCACCCCATCCGCCAAATCTCTGAAATTTCCCAAACTTGACTCATTTGCATATCGTCGTGTCCAGGAAGTCACGCTCTTTCGAATGAGTCTATTTGCATACTCTTATAAAGCCTGCAAAACGGTACAAGTCAGTGGTGAGGTGCAGGTGAGGTCATGTGCAAGCACTGCCAAGGGCCATTTTCAGCAAGGAAACTCATCAGCACACGTCCGATGCATAGAGGATGGCAAAAAGCATTTATTTTATCCATACGGCTTTGTTGAGATGTCTTGGACAGGTTTCCGTGCGAAGAAATTTGGCTTGATAAGGGAAATTAGAAGTTGCTTTTGAAAAAACTAAAATAAAACTCAAGCTTGCGTTTTCTGGGGAAGCAACCATAACCAGTGTGTAGTTCCTGACGAGCTCTGTAGAGTAGTATGCTTACCCGTCCAGGTAACCTGTGTTTCGGCTTTAAATAGGACTCAAAAGAGAATTTTTGCGTTCAAAGAATTAATGTCCGCGACATTGTGACGCGGCCACTTTCGGACTTTTTTTAGAAAAAGATTCTTAAAATTTTTAGAACACATGTTTCTCAAAAAGCTCAAAGTGTGGATTGTAGATCTTGAAGAGCTCTATCACCTCATGCAATTATTACATTTTTTCATCCTTGTTTTCCCTTTGAAAAAGAGCAATGAAAAAGGGAGAGGGTTTGTTCGCAACTTTTTGGCGGTCACTGTATGTATGCTGAGGCAGTGCCAAAGCCGTCTGATTATGTGGTTATAAGCTCTATGCGCTCTATTCTTTTGCAATACTTGCTTGCGCAAAACGTTTTGGGCAAAGTAATCCAAGGAAAATTGCTTGATGTGCAGTTTAGCCTACACCATCGTTAGAACCCATGCCGTGTTGTCCAAGTCTTCTTGTTTACACATATTACAAATAGTGACTTTCGCTTTGCTACGAAAGCATACACTTCCTGAAGCTGTCAGGTTGGACTGTACCTTGATATGAGCTCAGTGTCAATGCATGAACAAACCTCAGCAGCTTATAGTGCAGTGTTCACACTATCTTGATTTCTCAAAGCTACCCACAGTATAGTGAGATACAAGTTCATGCCATTACTCTTCCGTGGTTAAGGTAATGGGTAAACTATACTAATCTCTCTAGTAAAATAAAGCTTTTAACACCTATCAAGGTGATTTTATGCAACCAGCACCAGTTTTCGGAAGATGCTATCCATAATAAAGCTACTTTTTTCTCCGGGAAGTTCACCCATTCGAACGAGTATCGAAACGCTTGACTGATCTGTCTCACATTTGATGGGAAGACAAGGGTGAAAGTGTTCTCTAGCAGTTAGCTGAGCTTCTGGTAGTTACGAGGAAACGCAAAGTGTGGTCGGAGTGCGTATTTTACTTTCTCCAAATACTTGATGTTAGACCCAGTGCTTTGTCGAGTGAACCACAGGGTCACCCTTGGCAACAATTACTCATACGCAGTTTTCTCGCGAACGAGGCGATGAGGCGGCTTCGACGGTGAGTTAAACGTGGTCTGGCACGAATGCCGTGTGGGGAGCGTGCAATACTGTGGCAAAAGGTGCAACACTGCGAAATCTGTTCTGTTTAGATAATGAAGATGTGCAATGGTGCTACGACATATCTTTGGTTTGCAATTTGCAGTAGATTGTTTGCAGTCAATTTGAAATAAATGCCTTGTCTCTTCAATCTTCTATCTTCTATCTACAAACGCTAGGGGTGAGAGGAACGGGGTAGAGAACGGGGTTGAGGGTCGCTTTGGATCCTTACCCTGGGGTGGAGAAATCCTACTCGGCAACCGCATGCCACACCGTTTGCTCAACCCTGGTCTAGAGCTAATTTGGGTGGAGTTTAGAGACATAATTGGGGTTTGGAGCTCAATTAGGGCTAGTTACAGTATGCCGCTGCAGACTTACGGAGCACAAAATGAGAGGGCTCCGGAGCACAAATTGGAGGGCTCCGGAGCACGAGTTGCAGTGGCAGTGTCGCTGGGCAGAGCCCGCGACACTGCCACTTCCGCTCCGGAGGTATCCCATCGACTGTCTGAGTGTTGAAAAGTTATTTATTAAAATCGGCATGCCTAGAAACCTTGCTACACAAATTTTCAGAGTTTTTGAAATCATTTGATCAAAAGGCTTATTGCACAGTGACGCTGTATGCTGAAAGTTCGTACCGTAATCCTACAGTAATGAAGAATGATTGTTGTTTCTCTCCAGTTCCATACTGTAAATCTAAGTTGGTCCTCGCTTTACAAAATGGTACCTCAAGCTCGGCATAAGACATGAAAGCAAGGGAGTTATTAGCGATCAAACAGTGTGCACATCTTTTTGGGACATTCTGCATATTATTGTCAGTGCCGTGCGGAGCTGGGTTTGCCAGCTAGTCATTTATATAGGAAAAAATGAAACCAGGGCCCCACAAATAATCTCCTAGTTTTTTTTTTTACAAAGTCCATTTTTGACTTCCAATAATTTCATTAGAAATAATGACGTTTCGGCAAGTGCTGGAGAAATGAGTAGTTAGCTTCTTACGATATTGGTCGGAACAAGTGTGAGTAGAATAATCAAACCTACTTAGAGTGCTCCAGGGAAGAGAGAGGGGGGGAGGGAGAAAGAGAACATAAAGACGAAAGATGACATCGCAAATGAGAACAAGGTAAGCAGCGCAGTGGACGTGGATTGAGCGCAACATTTGCCTTAGCAAGTTTTTGTTCACTAAAAGGAGGAGGCAGCAAAAATTGATTTACTAGATGGAAGGGGAAGTAGCCCATGTAAAAAATCCAAAACTTATGCGAACTTCAGGTAAGTTTCAGATAAGATCAAGAACGCCCAGTCGTCCTGGTGGCGTCTTGGAAACTACAAATTCAGAAAAAGGGACCGCGTCACATGAGCTTTTGAGATTTTTTGCACAGCTAATAAAAGAGTAATTCATATATACCAAATTTTGTATTAAATTGCCTTTTTGAAGGAACACGGTGGCGCATGTCAGTCGTGTCAAGTTGTTTCTGAAATGTGTGTTTGTGTGAATGGTAGCTTATACGCACGCATAGAACATTTCAAGATACCTTCTTTGTTTTTCCCCCCAAAAAACGAAATCCAGCGTGCTCCCACAATCGATTAATAAGTAGAATTTATAAATAATTCGTACTTTTGTTTTGATTCTCAAATTACTTGTATTTTTAGAACCAAAATAAAAGTTGTTCTGCTTATTCCCTTGTAAAGTGAAGTCGATTGATGCGAGTCGTAGAAAAACGTTAGGAGCATAATACAGGCTAAATCCAATAATGCTATTTAATAGAATTAATGAAAGTCAGGAGGATTCCACTGTTTTAAAGTACCACAAGAGTGCATGAGTTATTGTCATAGATGCAATAAAAGCGAGCAAATGACTTCATTGACACTCGGCCATGTTGTTGGGTCTAGTGCTCTTCCAGGTAGGTACGACAAAAGTTTGATTTATGAAAAAATAGCTATAGGCTGCTGCATGCCGAAGGCGCAATATCTTTGGGCGCGAACGCGACTTTATTAGCCGCAGAGCGCATGAGGCGCACTTACAACGGTGAGAATACGTGCGCGCAGCCGCCGCTGCCGCTTCGCCGCTCAACTAATACTGCTTCTGCGCCTTCGTCATGCAGGAAGCTCTAGTAAGCCAGTCCGTTGTGTCGCTTGGTCTTATACTACAGGAAATTCTAATTTTTTCCGACACCAGTACCAAACCTTTATCACCAAACGTAAACCCAGTGATGATATTACAATCAAATATTTGCCTGATAGCCGACTTATGAGAGAAGGTACCCTGAATTGGCGATCCGGGATGGATATCACTGGACGCTCGTTGAACGCTGATTCTTAGTCTGTTTTTCCTGCGCAACAATTCTTTAAAAGGAAACTATGAGCGTTTGATCCAAATTTGTCAAGCTTCAAATGATTAAAAAAGCCGAAAGCTCTACGAAAATACCTGAAAGTGGGTAAGCAATTAGTGTCAAGTATACTGACTACAAAGGGGAAACATAGCCAGTGGGATTCCGTAAACATGTTTTCAGTGCAGCTATTCGCTACTTTTATACCACTCAAAGTTGACAAACTTGGACATTGATATGCTCATTAGTTTTTTACGGAGGGTAGATCCGCAAAAACGCAAAGTAGGCTTGCGATCAGCGTTCAAAGTTCGCGTCTGGTAATATTATACATATTTTAACTTCAATTGGCAATTTTGCTATCCTTTCCTTGTTAGACCAAGAGTGCTACAAAATGTTTTATTTATACATGTATACATGTGCATGTAAATCTTCTACAGGTTGGACCCTCCTAAAAGCACTTTCTATCGCTATTTCCCTCTTCCCCTCCCCGCCCCCCCCCCCCCATCTTTTCCCTCTCCTCCCCACCTTCGCAAATATTAGGAAATCGATATATCAAATGCACGCCCACATTGGAATACTTTTTAGGTTAGCACATAAACAATGCAACTTTTTATACATATATCTTTTGTCTTTTTGAACGTGGAGCACCATTTTTTGCTGTTACACAGATTATGATGTAAGCTACATCTGCAGCCATTTTTGGCGAATTCTGCTATTGCATGTAATATTTACGGTAACTTTACGTTAAGGGGGAGATATTAGGCTGTCCCAAAACTCCTGTCGTTTCATTTTTGAAAATTTGTAATTTTGCACTATCTCAACGGATTTGCATCCTTGTAATTACATTCGAAAGAGTAAGTCTTTCTCTTTCGAATACTTTCCTTTCTGCTTTCTAATACACATTGGCTCCAGAGATAAAAGTGGAAAAAGGAGAGCTTGAAAACCTTGGTCATTTTAATTTAAGTCACCTGAAGGCTGAAACGCTGCGGAAAAATCTGAAAACGTAAGTGCACAGGTTTTTTACCTACTCTTTGTGGCAGTGAAAAGTTTGTGCTGTTTGGACGTCTCTGTGAAAAATTACGAATTTCGACTTTACTACAGAAAATCCCAAAATTAATTAATTCGTCATTTTTCTCGAAAATCATAACTATTTACAGAAACATCCAAACAGCACAAACTCTTCACAATTGTAAAGAGTAGGCCACAAAACCTATGTACTTACGTTTTCAAAATTTCCGCAGCGGTACAGGTTTTTGGCGACCTAACTCAAAATGACCAAAGTTTAAATGGTCTTCTTTTCCCATTTTTATCTCTGCAGTCAGTAAGTATTAGAAACCAGAAAGGAGAGTATTCGAAAGCAAAAGACTTACGCTTTCAAAATATAATTACAAGGATGCAAGTCCGTTGAGATAGCGCAAAGTTACAAATCTTCAAAAATGAAACGACAGAATTTTCGAGGCAACTTAATTGAAATGGCCTCTGATTCTGCTAATAACTACGATATGTGTTCAGCATGTCGAGTTACCCCATTGTCCAAAGTTTTGGCAAATTTTGAGGTTTCGCAGCTTATTGTTAGTTACTAACGCGAACCCTTCCATGATTTAGCTTGTTCAACTTCTCCAGGGCGAGAAATCTTAGGCTGCTTTGAATATTCGTTTCCTTTTTCTCATGTATGACAAGTCAACCTTCGGCAACATACTGCTCTTAATTCATCTGAATGAGTTCCATCTAAGCGAAGCGCGAAACTAATGTGCCAACCTAATTCTAACAGTTTTTAGAGATCGTTCTAAACTTTTGATTGGCTTTTTGCTAATCAAGCATTGCGGGTTTTTCTGTGCCCTATAAGAATAGGGACAAAATCTATACGCTGAGAACTCTGAATGTAGATATCAGAGCGTGCTGCTGTTTTTAGGTCCTAACACTAAATGTGCTAGCTGCTAAGAGACCGACGTCAAGTAATCGGAGGCTCAGACCGAGGCGTAGGATTATGGCTATGAAATTTACTTCCAGTCATTTCAGCTGTTGTATAAGTGATTTACAGCAAAAACGACGACCACCACGACTACCACGACCACTCCGGCCCCTACAACGACCGTGCCATATTGCAAACCGGAAAAGAAGCGACTCTGCGCTAAAGGCGAAGGTTTCATGAGCAAAGGTTTCAGACAAGTAGCCCTCTTTCTTCACAGAGAGCTCAGGTAATCTATTCTCTGCGTAGTTCCGTCCAAAAAATGAAAGAGTTTGCAGAAGTGACCTCGGCATTAACGACAAAATTTTTCCTGAAGAAACTCTTGAGAGTTTGCGTGTGGTAAGATGCTTAGTTCAAATTTCCACGGAGTTTGATTCTTTTTGTAGAATTACGACTGCGATTTGGAACGGAAAGCCTATACGAGGGTGAAAAAATGTAGCAGATCCCTGTACAGCACCAAGGCACATAACTATGCTGTTATTAGAAATCATCTGGGTCAAGAGAAAATTACTGCATTTTTGACGGTCAGTGTAAATGACAAAATCAGTAGTCTATTGGACTTGGTATGATCAAAAAGTTAGACTTTAGGCTTTCTCGTGGTGGCGAAATGGCAAACAAAAGATGGATGACTCTAAAAACATCTGGGAGCCGCATAGTGAATACGATAAGGTAGTTGACTTATGTATCGTAAGTCTCAACAGCTATAACTAATATCCCAGGCTGATTCCAAAGGCTATGTTCCCCAACCGCTCATATTTATAGGCAGCGTCCAGGCAAATCTGGACATATGAGGCTCTTACGTAGATCGTAATTTTGGGGCCCTAACTAAGCCACTGCCCAAGCAGTAGCTTATCTAGCGCTCTAACGGCTAGGATATTCGCCTCGAAACTGGACCCCGGGGGTAGGGGAACGAAAGCCGCCAGTTTGAGCCGCCTTTCGCGGCCAAGTGGTCCTTTCGCAGTGTTGTTACATGTCGTTCCAGGACCAGCAGTCCGCGGAGGCGGTTCAAACTGGCGGCTTTCGTTCCCCTACCCGGACCCCGGGATCGTATTGCGCATGGATTCATGCGCAACCCATGGGTCCTCGCACGAAATTGATGGGTTGCGCCATGTATTCATGCGGAATATGATCCCGGGGTTCAGTTTCGAGGTGATTACCTCAGCCGTTAGTGCACTACCTGAGCAGTGGCGGTTGGGCAGTGGCTTGATTAGAGCCCCAAAATTATTATCCACGTGAAAGCCCCGTAGTCTAAGTTGTTTGCCTGGACGCTGCCTCTGAGGATCGAATCACTCATCAATGAGTAGCACCTATCCTCCTGCGGCATCCTCTTTCAATTCTATATACTCCTTATGCAGCTTAAAGGCAATGGATCGGCAAAATCCAACAAGTCAGGATTTTAACGAACCAGACTCCTTACTGCCCAAGTATGAAAACAGTGCAATCCCGGTTGCACAGCATGCCTTCCTTGCCGAGAAAATTGCTCTCAAATTTACACGCGCAGGCCATTCTTACACGCATCCGGATGAGTGGCAATTTCCTTCTCACCATTGGAGGCTGCCCGCAATGCTATAACTATTGGGTCCTGCGACGATTCGGCGTCATCAGCCTTGCTACACTCGTGCAATTCCAAAGGGAAGAGCATTAAAAAACGGGCATTGTCGCCGTTTTCAAGCTTTCAAAGTGGGTTTTTGGTATCAGCGTATTGAATAACCCTAGGTAAGCGCAAATTTGACTAGGATGAGATTTGCCGAGCACTGCCTTTGAATGTGCACGGGTCAGCTTCACCCTACTCACTAAATAAGTTGCCCCCGACTGTAATAGAGGTTACTTGCCTCCCCCCCCCTTGTTCAAAGAGTTCTGCTAAATGAATATTCAATCCCACTATCTTCAAAAGGGACACATGGTTACGGCCGGAGTTATGGAACTGAAGCCGTATCTATCCATTCGAGGTTTTGCAATGCGCTTGCAATACCATAACGCTCGGCCGTAACAGATGTCCATAAAGCTTACACTTCCAAACATTATGAGGATAAGTAGAGAAATTGAGCTTGCCTTGCTCCTTCTAAACCAGCATATAACTTTGATATATAAAAAAAGTTTTCAATGTAGTTGGAAGTTTTTGGGTAACGTACCCAACATATACGCAAGTGTTATTAATAAAACGCACTACATATATCACATCATATGAATCTACTGAACTCTATTTCAACACTTTCTCTTTCAGTTGTTATGGCAAGGCAAGGTTGAAGTTGGATGTGCAGCGATGCTATGTGGTAAGAAAGGACCGAAATTCATTGTTGTGAACTGTGAATACGACCTAGAGTACGTTACAATTTTTGCTTGTTACTTTTCAAATGATTATGCATGTTCTTTAGGGACACGAGGGATTTGATTGGATTTGGCTAACTTTTCTTGAGGTTAAGGAAAGAGAAATACCTATTCAGGATGCCAATTTCTTTACATCGGACTCTTCCCATAAATTGTTTTCCTGATTCTTTAGGTTTAGATAGTGATACATGATTACTTTGTAGTAGAGCTGTTTTTCTTTTCGTTTTTAATGCGACCAACAGAAAAAATTATACAATTCAGCGTTCATTTCTTCATAGGGTCAAGAAGTTAGGGTAGGGGAACGAACTTCGCCAGTTTGAACCGCCTCCGCGAACTACTGGTCCTGCAACGACGTGCAACAATATGGCCCGTAGTAAACCCTCATTCATCTCAGCTGACTTGAGATTAGTCATTCAGAAGAACTTCCTTGGGTGAACCTAATCCCGCCCACCTTTCCGTGCTTTAAGATAGTCACTTCACCAGTCAGAAGACTGTCCGGTCAAGTGTCACAGTCAGTTCACCAGAATGCCGCTTATGCGAGGTTGAATTTTAGAGTGACCCGAGAGAGATAGTGTGCATAAGAGGAGAATCAGAAAAAAAATTTCCCGTAAGTTGCTCATGAGTAACTTACGGGAAAATTCAGTCGACGTATTCTTGCGGTGCAAAACTCCCAAAACTGCACGATTCCGGAGACCTAAATGGGGGGGGATCGATGATGATGAACAGCTGATTGCGGCGAGGAAATCAAGAAAACCGGGTTTTTTCCTTTTTTTTCATTTGCTTGAGTTTCTTTGAAAAACCGCCTAAAACAAGAATTCCTTGTTTTGTTACACTCAATTTATGTCCCAATATCTTCGTTTTCCATGAAATTTTCATTAAAAAGTGTAGTTTTCTTTTATCCATCCATTTGTTGAGCGAATTCCTTGCTAGCGGTGATCATCGATTTTTTCGAAAGGTGGCCGCTATCAAGGATCGCTCGGCGATGGCGCAAAAATCTGCCGTTAGCCAGACCCGAACCAAACAGTACCTTTTGCGATGGATCCCGTCCACTTAGCCGTTCGACCAAACTGCACAAGGAGCTACGTTTTTAGGAACTCCCAAGACTTACGTCTAGAAAGTGATCCGCGTCCTGATCAATAGCTCACTGGATGCCGGGCTGAGTCGTTCTACGTTCAACGCAGGCCCGCCTCCAGCCGAGTTGGGCTGAACAGGGGTTCACTACAGGCCTATAGCAAAAGGACCAGTTGCCAGCGAAGGCGGGATCAAACCGGCGGAGTTCGCCTCCCTACCCAAGAAGTTATAGTTAGTTATAAGTAGCTAGATAGAAAACTATCTCTCAAGTGAATAAATGGTGAGGACTCATGTTTAGTTAGCAGAAAAGAAAAAAGACTAAGCACATTAAGCGCAACGTCTTCAGAGACGGTGTTAATTGAAATTGACTCGAGCAAAAAAAATCATATAGTCTCAAAGCCTACAACTGAATGGACCTTTGGCCCTATCAATCAACATGTACTTCTCAAAACCTCTGATTCAATATTTCGATATATAGAGACCACATACAATCATGGAAGGAAAACTCTGATAAGCTGCTTGCATGAAACCAATTATTCATAACCAGTGCGTCACCTTTGCTTCGTAGAGGTTAGCACTGGTTCTACTATCCGTATGCCTTCATCGTGATCGTAACAATGACTTCAAAACTCAATGCCCGATGCCGATCACACGAATAAATTGTGAACCGTTCATTTTCAAAGCCTTTCCATGTAAGATCGCTAATTTTGGGAGAAAAAATTCTTCCGCATAAGAACACATGCGATTTTGAATGGGTTACTGAAATTATTTTGCTTTATAGTTGCCATAAGACTATCATTTTGCGCTACATCCTACATCTTTATTCAAAAAAATCCTTTCGATTTTTGAAGTAAAAACTTCGCGAAAGACAATTTGCACAGTCACACCTTTTTGGCGCTAATTCTGTGCAATAATGTACTTTTGGTTATTTTTTGGGCTAGAGTCAATGTTTTTCGGATTCACTTGTTGAGCAAATCCATGACTTCGCGCCATTAGCGACCCATTTTGGCGGGCCAAAAGTTGCGTGGACCCGTTCACGAAAGATATTCAGTGGTTCCACTTACTGGATCGGCTTTGCTTTTGCACAGTTTACCTACACGCATTATAGACGCATTATAGATTAATGACTCTTGTTTTGGCCAAATGAGGAAGATAATATCACACGCAAATCGCAAAAATTCTCGAAAAGAGGTGAGTTAGGATTCAACTATGATTCGAATTTCCAGATTCGAACAAAAAGTAACAGGAATACTGAAAAGAGCGTCGGACTTTGTCTACATCACGATTTTGGAGCGATAAACGATTATACCTAGTTTCTGTGCCACGTTTTCTGATCGCACCCTGTTGCGCCGCAGACGCTATTCCTTTGGAAAACTTCCCAAATTTTCTCCTACTGCAACTGCGTCTGGCTACTTCCAGTATATTTCGAAGACACTACAACATTCCTCAAGCAATAGAGGATTTCTCAAATCCACGTTGGAAACAAAAGAAAATTCCAAAAAATTTCATACTTCCTTCATACTTGTAAAAGATATGAGATGCGTTGCGAAAAGGGATCCACCGCCGGGTGAGATTGCAAAAAATTTTAGCCAGTTTCTGTAAAATTCTAGAGTACATTCACATTTAAGGATCTGTGTCAAGTTGACCAGGAAAACCTAAGAATTTCGCTGATTTTTCTGGCTTTATTTTGAGCGACAGTACTTTTTCCGCACCCTGTAAAATTTGATAATTATAAAGCGTTACGCTCATACGTAGCATCAACAAAGCTAGTTAACACGTTGACGACGAGCCATTTCTTTTGAGGTATATCTCTGTGGACGAGACGTTTCCGTGCATCCCTAGACATGGCCGCATGTGCATATGTATGCATGCATCCATGCACGAAATATAAATTGTGCAAGCCCCGCCCCCATGTGAAGCTCCTCCCACTTGGCCGAAAATGACGGAAATTGCCCAAATTTCAAGAATTCATGCGATTACCCCCACTTTTGAAAAGTGGGCGGATCTTGCCACTTAGGGGACGGGGTTTGCCTGACGGTAAGCGGGGCGTGGCTGAAAGTTGCCTGAGGTCTTTGCGCTCATCTACGACCTCATCGTATGAACAAAAAGCCCTTGCTAGGAGCATAGGAGCGGGCGGAGTTTGCCAGAAGGGGCGGGGCTAATATGAAGTATATCTGAGCCTATGTTTATTGTATGAACGAAAACTGGGAGGATTGGACGATAGTATTGAAATTAAGGCCGCCGCGCACCATCGTTCGTCCACAGGGACGCTAGTGAAGTTTCCAACTCTTTCGAACAATCACCCAAAGAGATTATAAATAACGAAAGAAGGAATACAAATATTGATGGAAAATGACTTGTATGCTTACTACATGGGAAATATCTAACGTAAAGGGCCAGGCACACATCACGCGATTTCATCACCTCGCGATTCATTCAACAAGACAACTGCTACGATTTCATTGCATGCAGATCATCTTGCATTTCGGTTGTGATAATTCCCCGACACGGCTAATCGCGACCGACTATCACAATCGGAATGCACGATTTTTGAATGCAATGGACTCGTAACGGTTGTCTTGTTGGGAGAATCGCGAGGCGGTGAAATCGCGTGATATATGCCCGACCCTTAATGCTCCCATTTGCGCAAAACTCTCTCAAAAGTTCTTATAATTCTACAGTAATGAAACGAAATCGGTGGTCAGTTCTAAAATAAGTCGTATAGAGCATTTGAAAAATCGTGACGATGGCGCGACCGCGCGCGACGCGCACGCCACCTCCGTAAATCGCATTTTCTCGGTTTTCATCTCTAGTCGAATGGTTTTTCGCTTACGTATGATAATATTTAAACACTAGAAGTGGCTGAACTGAACGTTGAGTTGACGTCTTCTTGAATAAGCGTTTTATGCTTCTGCGAGCGCAAAGTCCGCACTAAAATCCGTCGTCACGATTTTATAAATGAACTATACCTGAAGAGCGAAAGCTGTACAATGATAGGACATCTGTATTGATTCCTTTACAGTCCAGTAGATTTCCGCTTAATTTAGTGTGCTTGCGGCGCCGAGACAAAATTTGCGCGTGGACAAATAGTTACTTCCCTAATGATGGCAATCTGCGCGCGCAAGTAACCTGCATTACGGGCGTAGCTATATTGGTTTACACGCAGACCGATTCGGCACTCTAAACACACCAGTAAACGAAAAATCTGGCTAGATTGTACCTGCTTAGCAGTCCTTTTTCTCAATATTTAACAGCACATTCCAGCAAATTTTATGCATCTGAAGAGGAAAATTTTACGATGATGCAAATCAACTCCTATCATCATCTGCTGTAGAGCTGGGGAATTCGGCGAATGACATGGTGCACTCATATATGCCACCAAAAACTTAGCTTGCCCAGTCAAAGGGCTTTCCAATAAATGCGTTCCTTTAGATTCGTCGCTCAATATAGTGTGCCTACGGTGTCGAGATGATGCGGTAAAATTAGCATTAACAGTTAGCTGCGCCTGTGATGCCGGCTACCTGCGCGCGCAAAATGCCGGCATTACTGGCTTGGCTATTTGTTCACACGAAAACTTCAGCACGTCATCTCGGCAAGTACACTATATTGAGAGAAGAAGACTATCACTCAACAATTCCTCCAATTGTGTCGACTATGGAAGAAGATATCATCAAATCCCAGCTTCAGAAAGGAACGAAGAGGTGGCGGTTTTGATAGCGTGTGAATTTAGAAACCAAGTTTTGTCTTCCCTAGTTTTAAATAATTCGATAATTCCGAAGGCAATCAACACTTTGTTTTACTCTTTAGCCCGGTGATAGCATGAGGGTCCCCTCCTTCTGCGGAGGCATTTGCAAGTAACTCAAGTGAGTTAAATTACGCATGTAACTCAGACAGCGGATAGGACCCCTCCGCCGGGGAAATGGCAGGGCCGCGGGGTTTCCCCAGCGGTGGGTCTGCCACTCGTCCGCCGGAGCCCTCCCATTTCTGCTCCGGAGACCTCCCATTTCTGCTCCGGAGACCTCCCATTTCTGCTCCGGAGACCTCCCATTTTCTGCTCCGGATACCTCCCATTTTCTGCTCCGGATACCTCCCATTTTCTGCTCCGGAGGCCTCCCATTTGTGCTCCGGACCCCTCCGATTTTCTGCGGCGCGGCTCTTCCAAATCTGGCGGACTCGCGCCGGGCAAATTTCTTCGGCGCGGCTCTGCCAAATCTGGCGTACCTCCGGAGCAGAAATGGCGTACCTTTGCAGCAGGGCCGGAGAAGCGTCCCATTTGCCTGCCAGTGATGTCACCACGACCTACAAGAAGGGACCGCCCATTTGCCCCGCTCTCATTGGTCAACTGGGTCCGGCGCGACTCTGGCAGATTCCGACTGTCCGGCGGAGGGGTCCAGTCGATTGTCTGAGTAATCTCCTTTGTGTGGTAGAAATGCAATGATTTTCAAGCACATAAACAATCCAACTTTGTAGGATATTTTGGGGACGGCTAACGCCAGGTGTGTTTCTCAGATTTTAGGAAAGAAGAATCTACAAAATCTTTTAAAAGCAGTGTCCGGGCAGAAAGTGATTTGAGATTTTGTACTTGCATATTCGCTGTGCTGAATCCGAAAACCCACACTGGAGAGCGTGAAAACGGTGAAAAAGGGCTCCGATGCAGGAGGGAATCAGCGGGTGGGCGGGGTCTTTTCCCCATTGTAAATTCAAGCTCCAAACTTCCGAAGCGATCTTCTCGATTTCGCTAGCCGCCTTGACACCGCCACCGGCCGAGTACGGATGTTTGATTTGAAATCGAAATCGAGAAGACCGCTCAGGAATCCGAGAGCGTAAATTCACAGTGTGGAGGACCCCCCCCCCCCACCTTTCTTCCTGTGTTAAAGCCCTTTTTTACCGTTTTTGCGCTCTCCAGTATGGATTTTCGGATTCAGCATAGCGAGTAGGCCCGAGTAAGACCAAAATCTCAAAATAGATTCTTTGCCCGGACACTGCCTCCAAGAAACATTTTCGGTGGTCTTTGCTAATCCTAAGCCATTCCACTGTCCTGTTCACCCTATGCCTCCATCCCAAAGCCGCTGTTAAAAAATCATTCGATACAAATTCCAACAGTTCATCAGGAGACTATGTGTTCTCCGCACACGAGGCATTCCCTTTTACAGGCTATTAAAGTGCGCGGAACAGCGGAGTAATAAAAAATCACAATCTTGAGTCAGCGTGCAGCGAAAGAAATTCTGAACGATTGTGCTAGCTAAATATATGAAACTTTATGATAGTTTCTATGCTTCTTTTGATTTTCTTATCTTCTTCAGAGCAAACAGCTTTTGCAAATGTGCGAATTGTACTACCCATGTGACAGTGGCGTACCGAGGGGGGGTGCGGGGGGGGGGGGGCGCCCCCCCCGAAAACGGGTCGCGAAATTTTTGAAAGTTACTTACATGAGTTATAAAAATGTGCAAATGACTTGTTTATTTTTGTAAACAATTAAAATAATTTTTAAAATTTTTTGAAAATTCAAATTAGCCTTATAAAAAAAAATTTCGGGGGCGTGGCTGACGCCACGCCCCCTTTTTCCAGATTTTAGGGGTTGGGGCCCGCAAAATTGTTGGGAAGCCCCCCTAAAAATTTTTCGGAGTGCGTGGCTAACGCCACGCACCTTCATTTGAAAAATTTTTTTGCCGCGCCCCCCCCCGAGCCGAAATCCTGGGTACGCCACTGCCATGTGAATATGACAATGGGCTCGAAATTTCAAATGGCCATGGTCATTTTACAACGTTATTGTTGCCGGAATTTACAGGCAAGGCGATACGTTCACGCACGAATGTTGTCGACACCGTGGATGCACTATATCGATCGCTGAAGCCCGCATCTACTACTGCATAAATTGATAAAATAAGGACTTGATTCCTCATCGAGTACTCTCTGCACATGTTAATGAGCAGAACGCATAGATTTCTTGGTCCGCCTTTTGTACACCAAGTAAGCACAGTCGAGTAGAATTTCCGCTTAATATGGTGTGCTTGCACAGAAGGTGAAATGCGATGAAATTTGCACGTGAATAAATAGCCACTGCTGGCATTTGGCGCGCGCAATTGGCCGGCGTCACAGTCGAAGCTATTTGTTCACGCGAAAAATTTAAAGCATTTCGCCTTCTGTGCAAGCACACCATATTAAGCGGAAAATCACCTCGAGTGTAGTGTTCGTGCATTGCCAAAACAACATTGTTAGTTGAATAAGGCAATGTATATCCGTTCTTTGGCTATTTTCTCATCGGTGTCATAATTTTCGCGCAAATGTTGTCGGCACCGCAGGGGAACATAATACCAACTCTCAGTTTTGATAAACTGTATAATCGCGTAAACTCACCTGCCAGTATGCGACAGGACGTTTTGCTTCCCAGAAAAGGGCTCTTTCACAGCTGTTCTTGCCATGCTTTATGGGCAAAACTAAATTTTTGAACAGAATATTTTGAGACTTCTCCAAAAAAGGCTGTAATTGAACATGCCCTTCCGCGGTCAATCTAGGAGCGATTTCCAAGACACTTATAAGGATAACGCTATTTTTCTTCAACGTTGATCTCAGTTGCACGAACAGTGCATGCGCGTGTATGCACCCCGCTACTCAGGCGCGTTTTCGCGTGCACATGCGCAAAAGCGCTCCTTGTCATTGATCAATAAAACGGTTTAGAATCGAAGATTCACTCCAGAAATACCTGAATGTAGAATCTGTTGTTTTAGTAGGGAGACCATTGAGGTTATATTTCTACATACCTGAGATACTAATCAATGCAACACGCAAAAAAAATAGCAGAATAAGTGGTTTGACCCTGCTGTTTCAAAGTATAACCTGCTTAGTATGATGTCTTTCGCTATAGAATGAATTTAACGAGAGGTAAATTAGATGGTCCAATTGATTGGTGCTTCTTGTAATCAAGTAATGATAATCTGACTGATTACGACGTCCACATCTCAAATTGTCGAAGTTTCAACAACACAATAGCAACTCAAATTCCTTTTTAAATATTTGCAACGCATTAAGATCGATAAAAACACTAGATACACATGAAAACGCTAAATATACAGTTTGCGATTTTGGCAACAAGAGCAAATTTTGCGCCACGCACTGGACTGTATCTGAAAAATCCATCTGGGTTTTTGCATTTCAATCTTTTTTGCGATTAAGGCCATAGGCTGAACCTAACCACATATTTATTTTCATGTTCCTGCACTTTCATTCGTTTTTCCGAATGTCTATGACGCATCCGAGGCAATCCAATTATTTTTATCAGAAATGGCATGAAAGAGGCCATACCTATTCCTTTTTCTGCGCTTTTCTATAACAAATTGAAACATTATATCATGAACTCTTCACCACCTCCTGTGACGTTTCAAGTCTTGAATGAACAATTGCCGTCACCATAACGACATTTTTCAAACTTTATTAATAATCCCATTATTACATTCAGAGAGATCGAATGGAACCAAAAAGAAAGAAAAATGCATATCTTGTGGTCGAGAACCACACTTATAATATCTGCTCCAAGACGAAGGCGGTCGCCCAAATAGGTTGAAAGCACGAAAGGCTGCGGCGCGCGGGCAATTGTCAACCACAGGGCGCGCGCACGCTCGTTCGGCGGTCATCCACGCGAGCGTGCGCGCGACCCGTGGTTGACAATTGCCCGCCCGCCGCGTGCGCGTCAGCCTTGCATGCTCTCAACCTATTTGGGCGACCGCCTTCGTCTTGGAGGAGATATTACACACAATAATGAGGCCACGACATTATACAATGGAACATCAGTCGCAAGCAATGCTTGCCAAGACAAACCAGAAGAACACACGCAATTATTTATAGTGTACAGTCAGAAAGTGGCTGCATTGGTTAGACCGTGTTTGCAACCTGATGAGGTGGCTATGTGAAAGAGTGAGGTATCGTGAGAGGGACCATTGAGATTGGTGGGAGCGGACAAAGCCAAAAATTAGAAAGAAAGAGGGTGCAATGCTCTCAAAGCTAGGGATCTACTTTGCCTTGCCTTTTCCGGCTTTTTTAGGCGTTGCACTGGATCCTCCGGCTTTGTATGCGGCCATTTCTTTTTCGTATCGTTTCTTCTCTTCAGCGGCCAGCTTCTCCCATTTCGATTTGTCCGTCACTTTTGCCCATTCAACTCCGGCGGCCTATAAGCAGAACAATATCATCCTCTCTTTCTTGACAACGAAACAAACCACTAGAAAACCTCATAAAACATGCAAGTGAACTTTACGAACTCACCCTAGACACGTCGACCACACTCATACCGGGCTTGGCCAATTTGGATCGGTTCTCGTTGAGCCAAATCATGTAAGCTGACTGTGCACGTTTAGGCGCATTCGGGTCCTTCTTCTTTCGTTCTGCCTTCATCTTCGGCGATTTGACCTTCTTGGGCGATGAGGAAGCAGCGGCCTTCTTTGGGCGACCCATGGTAGTATGTGCTGCAAAACACACCACTCAATAACTTATATATAGTGTGACGGACATAAACAACTTGCGCAAAACAACTTGTTATCGCGATAGAAATCGGGAAAAATCAGGAGTGAGGATTCTAGAACTTATGTAGAACAAAGTGAGTGGATGTATGAGACAGAAACCGCACGAAATACCCCCCAAGAAAGACTAACCCATCTCCTAAAGACGAAACATTATGTACTAAGCATTCGACGCGCCCTTTCCAACGCCAAGACTCTGTGGGCGGAACTAATGCCGGCAGAAATAGCGCGTCACTGTTGAGACGCAGATGAGGAATTATGGGAGATAGCGCGAGCGCGCAGGAGACGCAGACGTGGGGAATGGCGCGAAATGTAAATATTCGATTCGGTTGGCTTTGTGCCAGTGGTCGGCAAAAGGGTTTAACGGGGCACGGGGGCCGGGTTTCAAATGGCGTTGACAGATGGTGGCAGTGGTCAGTACGAGAATGATGAATGATAGGATTATGCGGATGAGATCTGGGAGGTTCTAGCTGAGCTGAAATTTGAACAATGTAAAAATGAAAGAGTCGTTGGTCCCAGATGGAATTCTAGGCATTTTGTGCGTATTTTTCTGCTCATCACGGGTTGAATACTTTCTTTTGCACAATATTAAGAGCTTTTTTGATATAAAAGAGCATCTTTACGTCAGTGTGGTTATAAAGCGTCGAAATGGTAGGAACTTACAAAAAGCCTTATTTCTCTGGTTTCCTCAGAAAATATCGAATTTTTTGTTTCATAGCAGCAGGAATGTCATGTCCAAAGTTCAGAACAATGACATTAATCAAAATAGAAGTGCTCATTTGCAAAACTAGCCACATTCCAACAGCAAAATCGCACTATCGCCGAGAGCCAGTGCTGCTCCGGAAAACAAATCGAGACAGATGATACCCGATGTCAACATTACCCCAAAAATACAACCCCCCCCCCGCTCTAGCTTAGGAAAAGAAAGACCCTCAACAATGCAGCGTCAGAACAATACAAGAGAATGAACGGTGGAACAAAATAGACATCGCTCAATACATGATCGAACAGGTCAGAGGACCTGTTCGATCATGCAAGAATCAAAAGAATGAACATGTCAAAACATGTCACGTCATGTTTATGCGCATTTGATCGTTATTGATAAGGAGAGGTGACGAGAGGACGGGGAGAAAGTCGGGAGGGGTATGGAACTTCCGGGTTCCCAGCCGGTCCTTTTAGTGGGAAATAATCTATCGAATTAGTTGCTTTTATGACTGAGCCAACACCAAGATTATCATAGCATTTATTCGGCTAACGTTTCGGCCTAGTCGCCTTCGTCAGAGCCTATAAAGTGAGGAACATTAGGAATTAACCTCCCAAACATCTCATCACATGCAGGAAAAAGTCCAAGAAGTTGGATAGACTCCCGTTAAGGCCTAGAACTATTAGCTCACCTTTTTTGTCAGAATAAGGTAGAACCACCGCTGACTGGGATGCGCTAACAATGAGTGAGGCGAGTCTCTGGAGGCTACGCATAGATCAAAACTTGCATAACTCCATTAATGGCGCGAGCTCAGTTGTTACGGCGGTGCATTCTTCTTTTCTGTTCATTTTGGGATTCCGGGATAGAATCCAGCACGCCTCGAGCGTTTTTCGCGCTGACACCTCGGTTTCCCGTGACAGAATGTTGACCGAAACATCGAATTCTGTGTCCTGGTGGCATAGCTTGCGATGCGTGCCCAAGGGGGTTGATAGCCTTGATCTTCGCAACCCGTCTATGTGTTCCCTGATCCTAACACATAAAGGCCTTCCAGTCTCTCCCACATATTCCTCCCCACATAGCTTACAAGTAATGAGATAAACCGTACCAGAGCGCATGCAATCCCCATCACTATTTGTTGCGCAAATTACGCAATCAGGAACGCTACATGCTTGGTCATATGCCCTGTTGCGCACTAGACGTTGCTTAAGATTAGCAGGAGGAATCTCAACGACTCTGAGTGAGTCTTGCAATCCCGATTTTCGTACGCAGGCTCTGATAACTTTACTGAACTCATCCGAAATGAAGGGGAGGCAGAATGCTACCTTACTACCATCCTGGTCACGTACTCTGTTGATGTGGCTTCCTCGCGCCCTTTTGAATGGGTACCCGTTAGCCTGCGCTACCTGGAGCGCCCTACTAATGGAAGCGGCTTTGAGATCATCGTCTGACGACACCGCCTTAGCTGTGCGAAGCATGTTACCGACGACGCTGCGTTTGGTGCTCATAGGGTGCGCTGAGGAGTAATGCACGAGAATGTTCTTACTGGTTGGCTTCCTGTACCACCTGGTTCTACATTCCCCTCTCCTCAAGCAGATCTGAACGTTGAGAAATGGTAGCCAACCCTCTTTCGGCGCTTCCCTGGTAAATCGGATGTCAGCTGATTGCTTGTTGAGTAGGTCAAAGCACGTGTCCATTTCCGTTTGAGTTGGACAGACGATGATGCAGTCATCAATGTACCGGTAGTAGAGAGTAGGACTGCGGTCAAGTACTGGCTTTTCAACTCTTGACATGAAGCATACAGCTATCGCAGGAGCCAAACGCTGCCCCATAGCAAGTCCCCTGATCTGTTTGAAGTATTGCCCCGACCAGCGAAAAATCGAACAGTCTAGACAACCTTGCAACAGCGTCATGACCTGTTGGATAGTAAATCCATACAAGCCGATGTTATCGATCTTCTCATTAAGCAATTCGAACACAGCCTGTAGCGCAGCTGAGTTAGACACGTTTGTATAGAGAGAAGTAACATCGAAAGATTCTATGACTTCGCTTCCACTGAATCGCATGCTTCGCAGATGCTCTAACAAGGCGCTGGTATTGGGCAGATGCGCAGGGAAATAATCTATCTCCAGTTCCAGTTGACAATCACTTTTCGGCCAATTGAAATCAATAAAGTTTCAGGACTTTCAAAAGTCGTTCACATATTTCAATAATTATCAACAGATCAAAAGAGGGTTTGCAACGATTTGTTGGACAGTCTAGATTTTTATATAATTTATTCAGTTTGTTTTGATTTGTCCCTGGATGTAAAAAGATTTGTTTACAATAGAATAAAATTATATGAGATCGGAAAGAAAAAGAAGAGCAAATATCAGGGATTTTTCGTTTTTTTTATGTCAGTTGTCTATTGCACTGTTTGTATTTGGTTACAATTGACAAATAACAAATCAAAAATCTCATTAAACGATTCTCTGCTTCAAAGAATAAAATGTTATCATTGTAACTTTCTAGAAGAATATAATAGGATTTGTCAACTAAGTGCGCGCTGTCAAAGCATTTGATTTTCGATTTCACTGACAATCAAATAAGTAAATGAGAAAATAAATGAGCGATATGTTCCCAACCCGTTGTTTCGCAGAAAAATGATTTACTAAGACGGGATTTCAATAATGATATCATACACAGAGCTTTTTAAAGGATTCATAGGAGAAGCAAGGATCCTTTTTGTAAATTCTGATGCAAATCATGAAAACATTCAGCTCGAATTATAAGACACCTGCAAAGTTAACCACGCGTCAGATGGTGAAAATGATTATTGAAAAGAAGATTATATTATATTTGTACTTCAACAAAAAAATATGGCATTATACAGGGTGTCGCAAAAAAATGTTAATACTGTTTGATCGTTAATAACTCCCTTGATTTCACGTCTTTCGGCGAGGTTGAGGCACCATTCTGTAGAGCGAGGTTCAACTTAGATTCACAGTATGGAGCGAATTACCGTTCACTCTTCGTTACTGTAGAATTACGGTAAGAAGTTCCAGCATGTGGAACCGTCGTGAAATATGCCCTCTGACAAAATTTTTTCAGAAAATCTGAAAAATCGAGTACTAGGGTTTTCGCGCACGCTGATTTTACTGCACAACTTTTTACGAGTGTTTTCAGCTTTTTTTACGGCGTAATCACATTTTTGACGCATGCGAGGAAGTCAGTTATTACACTTTATCTAGGATAACATTGAAAAGAAGTATCATAATAAAATGGAAATTTCATATCCGAAATCAGCGGCATTCATTTCCATAGTACAAGAGTTTTTGTCTTGTTTGGCTCTGTTTCGGAGCAGAAAATGGCCTTTAATGGCCTAAAATCCTTGCCAAGTTTCCTACCGTAATTCTACAGTAACGAAGAGCGTTAGATGATTCGCTCCATACTATGAATCTAAGTTTATCCTCGTTCTACAAAATGGTACCTAAAGCTTGGCAAAAGACTCCATTACAAGAGAGTTATTTACAATCAAACAGTGTTAACATTTTTTGGGACACCCTGTATTGAACACTTCGCGGTTTCGATTGAGCCACAATTTGGCAATTTGCCAGATGTCAACACCACAGTCCGAAAACCATTGATTCATACTATACACAGCTTTTGTGAATCCATGATGCGTTACGTCCGTGCCTTGCGACGAAATTATGCACAATTGGAGCGTTGCCAAATCACGCAGCGACCGGAATCGTGCATGTTATGATCGAGTCTTAACAAACAAACACTACAACATCATGACATGAAATTTCTCTTCCATCCCTCCCCCCTCTTCCTGTTGTGTTCGCTGAGCACCACGCATATCTAATCTATTCTAGTATATAAAGATCCGTTAGCTCAATTCAAAAATCTTCCAATGACGGGAAAGCGCGGCGGGTCCCGAAGCGACTCTTCCAAATAGCACCTTTAGATTACTGGTTCACTAGTATGGTAAAACTGAATGATTAAGTGTGATAAATCGAGATATAGGTTGATCTTCACATCGGACAGTTCAAACATCTGAGAGAATTTTTTTTTCGGATGTGTTTGACAAATAATAGTGCGGAAATTATATTTATTTATTTGAAACTGAAAAGAAACTCTTGTGCGCAGGAGTTTAATGTACACAAAACCAAATCAATTACTAAGCAGAGATAGAGTTATAACCAATTCGACATGTTTATTTTTTCATGCATATTGACGAAATGATTTGTCATACTTGTAATAAACGAGCAGGTGCATTCACTTTCATTTTTTACAGTAAATTATTTCCGTCATCAAATAAAAGTCAGCTCCGTCTACAAAATTATAAAATCAACATAAATTTCCAAAGAGAAAACGAAAGAAATTCCATAAAACTAAGTTACCGAAAAGGCTGAACCTGTGTTCCAGGTCACATGGATTATTGCACTAGATCTTTTACGATTTTGAAAAAATTTATTTTTATAAAGTTCTACTCGCTGAATAGAAATTTTTCATTGATTAGTAGCAAATTACTCACCAAACAACTTAATTTGAACAATTCTATGGCCACCTAAAAGCCCATTGTCTTTTTTTTATATTATACTAGCTGGCTTACCCGGCTCCGCCGTATCCGGACCAAACTTGGCACACATACACTTCGGGCCCCGGCGCGTGTCACAGTCCACTTTTCGTTATCGATCGATGTCGATTTTACCGATTTTTAGCGATTTTTTCGCAGAGTTCACCTACAAGGCTAGGAGTTGGCACAGGGGGGAAGTGAGCATGGGGATTCCGAATACAATATTAGTTTTCAGAATTATCGGTTACTTTTATTGATTTTATCGATTTTTTGTAAATTTTGACATGCGAGGCTGGGATTTTGCACAGGGGGGTAATCGAGCATGCTGATTACGAACACAATATTAGTTTTCAGGATCGTCCATTACTTTTATCGATTTTATCGATTTTTTTGTAAAGTTTGACCTGCGGGGCTGGGAGTTTGCACAGGGGGGTAATCGAGCATGCAGATTACGAATACAATATTAGTTTTTGGAATTATCCATTACTTCTATCGATTTTATCGATTTTGCAAAATTTGAGCTAGGGGCTGGAATTTGGCACAGGGGTGTAATCGAGCATGCTGATCACCCCCTTGGGGATGATCAGCATGCTCGATTACCCCCCTGTGCCAACTCCCAGCCCCCTAGCTCAAACTTTGCAAAAAAAATCGATAAAATCGATAAAAGTAATCGATAATCCTGAAAACCAATATTCTATTCGGAATCCCCATGCTCGATTACCCCCCTGTGCCAACTCCCAGCCCCGTAGCTCAAACTTTGCAAAAAAATCGATAAAATCGATAAAAGTAATCGATAATCCTGAAAACCAATATTGTATTCGGAATCCCCATGCTCGATTACCCCCCTGTGCCAACTCCCAGCCCCGTAGGTGAACTCAGCAAAAAAATCGATAAAAATCGATAAAATCGATATCGATCGATGACGAAAAGTAGCCTATGACACCCGCCGGGGCCCGTAGTGTATGTGTGCCAAGTTTGGTCCGGATCGGTTCAGAAATGGAATTTTCTATTCGGAACATACGTACATACATACATACATACAGACAGACATACAAACAGACATTCAGCTTTATATATAAGATTATCGTGATGCTTCCTATTATTGTTTCTTCAGAAATCAGTGATAACTAATTGGTAACATGTACTTTTGGTTTGTCACGAATCATTAGGAGAAATTATTGAGAAAATGGATAGCTGCTGAGGGCAAATAAGAAAAAACACAAATTTGACTTCATTGTCAAAGGTAAAGCCTGCGGTGCTCTAAATGAGACCTTTAATAGCGATTACGAATTAATACTTTACTCCAATTAACCTTACAGCTTTTAGTACATCAGCATCAGAATTTGAAGAAATTATTTAACCAATTATACTCTTACCCATTCATAGCTGATCTTGTTAACCTGGCTAATTGTTTACTCTATGCTCAATTTTCATTAATTATCTTTCCAAGAGTTTAATCACACCTCAATACCCTATTAGGCTACATAAAGGTCTCTGAGCATGTGCTTAGCACATTTCCCATGACATTTCGACCACTCACCCCTTCGAGTGAGGTGCGATGTTGGCTTAGGCTATGACAGAGTCATTCGAGCACCATAATGACGGACACTCATCATTACACAAAGGACCAGGTCAGCTGAGCTCGGCTGAGCTGTGGTTATCGTGAATTATTGAGGATACCTGTAGAGGGGGCAGTGATTAGGATGAGCTAACCAGTGAGAGGGGGGGGGGGGAGGGAAGGCGCTCAGAAAAAGTCGCGAAATTTTTGAATGTGTCGCACGTAAACTCATACAAATGTCTCAGGTAAGTAGAAAAGTATAACTCCTTTCTAATTTAACTATATAGCAGTGGCGGTCCCAGAACTTCCGTTCAGGGAAAGAGGTGAGGGGGGGGGGGGCACGGCAAGAAATTTTTCAAGTAAAGTACTCCAAAGAAACTTTTGGATTGCTTCACAAAAATTTTTGCGAGCCCATAACTCCTAGGAGGGACCCGGAGCAGCCATGCCCCCGAAAAATTTTTTCTTACAAGGCTAGTTTACACTTTAATAAATTTCAAAAATTATATCAATTATTCATAAGAAAAACAATTCACTAGCACTTTTTTATAACCCATGTAAGTAAACTTCAATCTCATAAAGCTCTTTAAATTGTTTTTGCCTCTATTGTCATATTCTCAAGTAGACACAGCACTCCTCTTTTGCCCTAATTTGTTAATCTTGTTTTTTCGCTGAAAAAATAATTTTGAGGATTAGTAGTTAACATTTTGGCGATTTTTGAACATTCGTACGTCACAGATTTAAAAACGCATGTCGAGAGACTCGCAATTGCTATAAACCCTTTATATTACAGAAGAATCACGAAGACCATTGGTGCTTACACTCAATATGGTTACGATGCGTATGAGTCGAGGAACAAAGCGCACCTACTGCGCCTGATCAAACTGCTGTATATGTCCATAGACTGCTGCACCTAAATGTAACGCAATTCGATCATTTCCATGTTTTTCACTTCATTATTGCAGCAGTATATGAATTTGCACCTTTATTTATGCAGTCGGTTAGAAATGGAGGTTCCTATGCTGCAGTTGCACTCACAATCAGTTGCAACATTTGCGCGTGAAATTCAAAATCCAGTGTATGTTTGCACGTGGAGAATCTTTCATATTTCTGCATTTCTGACCGATTACTAAAGAGTATGGATGGAATCTGAATGATTTTCTAGCTCAGTCGAGGATATCGAACGTTCAAGACTTTATGTGATGCAAACGCAGGCTCCTTGGGGTTTTTTGATACTTTTCGCGTGTTTGAAACGCACATGTGGAACATGCGATTAGCATTGTGCAACTGTCTTCAGGTCAAAAGTCATGCTTATTATGACTTTTGAGCTAGTGTTATTAACGGCGAGATAGTGAGTTGAATCAAACCATACACACACATAATAATATGCTCCATTTAAGTCAAACTTGATGCAGTGGCAAAGAAAACACAAAAAAAACGCATGAGAATATCATGCTCTGTTGAATAATGTGCGCCTACGGTGCAGACAACATTTGCGCGGGAAAATTTGCACATAATTGCTTATCAAGGCACCTTTCTTGAATGTTTTGTTCCAGCGCCATTTTTAGAAGCTATTAACTGTCTACACTATATGCCTTTGAACAATGGAAATACGGATGCAAATTCAATGAATCTCTCTCAGAATCCCTTCCAATTCTTGTAACTAAGATGCTACGCGCAAATGCAGCAAAAGTGCAATTGCAGAACACATTCCTTGAATTTACTCATCGTTATGTTGATCAAATTAATGAGTCTATAAGTGAATGTGCATTTGCATATAAATGTAGTCGAAGGTGAAGACAAAATAACCTTTTCTGAAACGCTATTGTATAGTCTACAGATTAGGCGGTCGTGAATTCTTGATTTGCCAACAACACTTGCGCGTAAAAGACGCCCTCAGGGCACAACACTCGTTAATGTACAACCAGTAGTCTTTTTTGCGCGTAAACGTTGTGAGCACCGCAGTCACACTATATCGACCATCAAACTAAACTTCGCTAGTAATTTCTTGTTATTATCGAATAAACAGTGAGTCTAGTGTGCATAACTCGCGCGTTGTAATAGTTTTTAGATTTACTGCTTAGAGTAAGTGCGGCGTACTCTCGTACGAATTCGGATAAGATTCAATAAAACAAATCCCTAATGACGAGGAGCTAATCTATTAGGTAATAGAATAAAAATGAAAATAAAAATAAAAAACTCCGTTTCGTTTCTACCCTTAGACGGAGTAAAGGAATTATTAATACAAAGCAAAATTTACCTGCGTATACAATCAATAAATAGAAACTTAATTGAGTATCCATTATGGAAATATTCACTGATAACGGCCTTTGTTACCCTTTATGCCCATCCACTTCATCCCAGGATGCCATCACCGGACAAGGACAAGAGATTCAGGTAAGTGAATTTTTACTTATTAGATAGCCCTTCTTCGAATAAGATTCAAGTTTCTTTTTCGAGAGTGAGCCATCAAAAATTCAAACTTTGATCGTGCCAAGATGTGAAAGGAGAAAAGAGTCGTAAAATTTGCATGGAAGGACTCGTAATTTGGCCGTATATCAAGATTCACGACTGTCCTAGGTTGCTAGTTATATTTCCAAACTTCAATTTTTCAATGATTTGAAAGAAGTAGCGATTATGAGATTGAAACTTGTAAATTTGGAGAGAAAGAGAAACATGTAAAAGTGGTCATGCAAAGCTCGAAAATTTGTTTTTTACGGCAGTCTTTTCCGCGTAATTGCTGTCTTCACCGCAGTGCACCATAATTACCATTAAATCTCCTATAGTCGGAAAGATTTGCTAGCACCCGCAAATATAGACCCGCATAGAAATAATGGACTGGAAATGAACTGAAAAGAATTAACTTTAACACTATTTTTTAGAAATTGAAATGGATCTAATGCATATGTGTTGGAAGAAATAAATTTACAGCTTCCGTTGATTAGTCAAGCACCGGGAAGCAAGTCGAAAGCTGTTCCACAAGAAATTTCCCAGAACTTTTCAAATTATCAAAGTATGAGTTGCCTAAGCAGTTTGGCTCTTTCATTGTCTGGTGTATTCGATTGCTTGTTGTAGCCTTAAGGGCCGGGCATACATACTTCACGCGATTTCAGTCGCGACGCGATTTGGCAATGTTCCAGCTGTCCATAACTCATGGTAAGCACATTTCAAATGTGCTTACCATGAGTTATGAGAAGATAAAGCATTTTATCAGTTCGCGTATATTATACACACTATGCATGTGCAGTTCGCTAGTGTTGGATCCAAAAAGTTCTGGAGAATTGTCAATTCGCGTCGCGGCTGAAGTCGCGTGAAGTATGCCTGGCCCTTCATGCGTTACCGACAATTAAAATCTGGAAATTTGGAGCAACGAATACAACGAAGAATTTTCGCTCCCGCTAGTTCTACCACACTATAATGATTAATTGTCAAAATCAAGCAGTTTGCACACATGCTTTTACACTGTCGTTGTATTTGGCGTTCTACATCTAAACACTGTTTCTTGAAGACTTTCATTAGTCAATCAGTCATTGTTATATTCATGGGAAAGAGACGAAAGGGGGAAGACTTTCATACACACAAACGCTAATCGTCCATTTAAGGTACATAAAAAATCCATCAAGGTCTTACTAATTTGATTTCACTCGACATGCTAAGAATCAATATTTTTGGAGAGATTGAAATCGTTAAGAAAATAACTGGGTTTGTCACAATATTTACAGAAAAAATCTGCGGGATAAACGCGCAAAGTATATGTCTGCTCCAAGATTGTGTGGAGGCGGGTTGCGGATTTCCCTGATTTTCAGGATAAACTTGTTAAACCTCCACGTTATAGCATTGTATTTCGTACTCTCTCGTTAAGCTTATCCTTAAACGAACACAACGTACACGAATCTGGGAGCCGATCATAATGTATCTAGTGAGAAATGGGTGGTTCCAAAAAATCCTCAAGACTCTGTATTTGTACTCACATTTATCTCTCCAGACGAACAAATAATCGAAAAATGATTCTGTCAAAAGCTATGTCTATGAAAGTGGAAATAATAATAAGTACCAGTCGCTGGAGGTCAACAGAACTCTTTTTAGTAGTGAGAGACATGGCTCAGCAGCGCTAAGATTTTGGTTTTCGAAATCATTACAGCTTTAAGGAATTAAAGCTCAAAAGTCGGGAAAGCATAGACTCAATCAAGTTTTCTCCAAGATTCAGTTCTCGCAAAGCCCAATTTATGAAAAGTATACAAATTGCTTGCACAACGTCATCACTTGAGAAACAAGGGAAGAAGAAGGATGGAGTTTTCACTGAACGAGAGGGCTGACGTCAAAGAATGCTAGAATTTCTCGTTCGAAATTTTTCTATATTCAAGTTAACGAAGGTATCTTCCATAATCTTACAACTCATATAAACTAATTTTCAAAAATTTCGTGATCAATCCTCGGCTCCTTCCCCCCCCCCCTACGTTTCATACCATGAAATTTATATGCTAGAATTTCACATAGCATGGTGGATTATGAGGGTGATTGTGAGCCGCACAAGGGGATGATTTTCAAAATATTTCGATTTTTTGCTCATACTAGTGAACCAGTAATTAAAGGTGCTACATTGCAATCGCGCGCTGGGACCGCCCTTGGTTTCCCGCTATTGGAAGATTTTTGAATTGGCATTACGATTCTTTATATATTAGATAGATTAGATAGTAAAGCCTGATTTTGAAGTGCCTATACAGATTCAGAGTTCTTTCAGGGTTTTAGTACAATACTGAGAAGCAGAATCTACTAATACCGTCCAGGTACAATCTGATAACGTGATCCTATAGCGATTTACGCGATATGGTCCAAAAATTTTTTAGTAACACACTGTCGTACTCGCGGTTCCGACAACACTTGCGCGTGAAAAACCGGCCATTGAGAGCGCACTTGTAAACTTCAAACTTAGGGCCATATTTACGCGCAATTATCACAACGTAAGCACTGTACAATCGTCACCTCTTTTACTAGACTATATGTATTGCCTTACCTAATGAAAAAATCATTCAGTAGAGCAGATCCAATGATGTATTGAGATGTTTGCAGCCTCACACCACTCGTCTTGTATCTGAAGTTAGGGAGATTTCAAATTTTATGAGAACTACACTACAGTCTTCAAATATATGTTTTAGTAACATTTGATATGATGCACGTATACTTGCGCTCAAAACAACAATTGCGCGTAAAAAATGATCGCGGCGCCCACGAGGACTTCAAAGCGTGCGCTTCGACCAATGCCTTCTTTTTTACGCCAGTGTTGTCAGCTTGAATCATAACAGTTTTGGTCACTATTAGCCTCGAATCACTAAACTATAATATCTGCTCCAAGACGAAGGCGGTCGCCCGAATAGGTTGAAAGCATGCGAGGCTGCAGCGCGCGCGCAATTGTCAACCACAGGGCGCGCGCACACTCGAGCGGTCGCTCACGGGAGCGTACGCGCGACCCGTAGTTGACAATTGCCCGCGCGCCGCGTTCGCGTTAGCCTTGTATGCTTTCAACCTATTTGGGCGACCGCCTTCGTCATGGAGCAGATATTACCCAAGTTAGCTTTTTGAGGAGTAGTTTTAGGTAACTCTCAGTTTATGGTAATATCTATGTATTTTTTGAAAGTGTAGCTTGCATTTCTGCATGGAGGGAATACTATTCCAAAAACGGCTACTAAAGTCATTGAATTCAATTTTTAATGTCTCCGTATGAGCTACCCCGTGATTCCTGCGATTCATATTCTACTTGTGTATAAGCTGCGCCATGACGAAGTCGCAGAAGCAGTATTAGTTGAGCGGATGCGAACACGGCGCGCGCGTTCCTCACCTTGTAAACCCCGCGACTCATGCGCTCTGCTGCTAATGAAAGCGCGTTCGCGCTCAAAGATATTGCGCCTTCGTCATGCAGCAGCCTATAGTAAGTTTCAACTCAGTTTAGGCGGAAATTGAACTGGCGGGAGTCCGCTTCGCAACGATTCGCGCCGCTTTGCAGTCTGCGTCTCTTCGTTCTAATCTATCTCGCTGAGCCATTGGCAATGCGGACGCGCTGCTCCACTTGGGAAGTTCCGCCTACTTCGGTTTGAAAAAGACTATACATCCTTCAACGTTATCGATGGAGCGCGGAAACTCACGGTTGCTAAATAATGATGACACTAACGACCATAGTGACGTTGACATTTTGCGCTTTTGTTTATCCAGTCACAACCAACAATTTGTTTACGCTGAAGGAAGGTAGAAGCGAGTGAACTGTAATCCCGCATTGTAATGTTAGAATTTCTTACGCTTTATAGACATTAGGAGCTACAGGAATCCTAGGAACCACAGAAATCGCAGAAGTGATATCGCAGTTCTGCTATGGCGAGGCTAGAGATTAAGATAAAACTCATTGTTGCTGGAGCTTCAGTTTCCAGCTCAATGAGAAGTTGATTCTCAAAATTTAGCATCATGTGAGCGGAATTCAGGATTATCGAGATTCAACCAAGACTTTCAGCCAAGATTCTGGCAAAACTTAAAACTGAAGGTAGCTTTGAAAGACGAACGCTGGCATTGTTGACTAGCAGCTTCGAATACCAATAAACGCCCCTAAGCAACTGTCTCAGTACGTGTCTCAGGTTAGAACACAGCAGCATTACGAACCAACTGCCTCTTTTACACTCCCATCGCGAATGTTGTGTTTTCGTGTAAAAGCAGATCTGTTCCTCATTACGAGTGAATTTTTTGGCTCCTGTGGTTGCGAAACGCCAATTTGCACATTTTTGTCGCGCGCGAGCGGTCAAGCGTCTTGGCGGACCGCCCGTTTTTGATGTTCCCGCATTTTCTGGCATTTTGTTAGTCGAGGTGACCAGTCATTGTTCTTTTTTTCTTTTCTTTGCTCGCTTCGTGTGATTCATCATCTTCACAACATTCAGAACATTCTGGAAGATGAACTTTTAGTATCATTGAATTCCCACCATGACGTAGTCTCGCCCTCCATTTTATTAGAAAAAAAGCCAAATTTTTCATCCATTTCGTTTTTCTCTTTCTTCTGTGAGCTCGGAATGAACTTTTTTGAGACACATATGCAGCTTTCATGTTGATTTGATGTTTTTAGAATACCAAAATGACGTCTTTTGTTTACCTACCTTGTTTGGAAAAATTACTTCGTATAGAAGTTTTGCCAAGGTTTTCAGTTTTCCTCAATTTTCGATTCTAGAGTTGATTCATCTTTAAAGAAATTTCGAATCCGAAATAGATTTGATTATTGAGAAGAGAATCATGAGACTATGCGGAGAAATCTTTCCCCGTAAAAAATACGTCCCCCTGACAAAACAAGCAATTTTTTCCATCTTCAGCCTCCTTCCTGTTCCTCAAATTCACAATTATTTACCCATTTGAGCAAATAAATGTTGAAACATAGCGCCAAAATTGCTGTGCTTGTCGCACTTTCTCAAAGGACCACGTCGGCCGAATGTGCTCTCGGTCCTGCCACGCAGCGGCGTTGCGTGTATCGATTCGCACGCGGTTCTGCTTTTTCTGGCGTGAGCGGTCACGGCCTCACTGACCTCGTTCGCCTCCGGCATGATTTCTGTTCGGCAAAACATCATAAACCATTTTTGGCATCCCTTTTCTTCTTCTTTATGGTTCTTTGTCTGGTCATACATCTGTTAGGATTAGATTTCCCTCCTCTCGTTTGTTTGCCTCGAAGTATTTCACCTTGGCTAAACGCCAATGTTGTCCTATCTCTCGCGATCGCCATTTAGCTTTCTCTTTTTTTGCGGTTCGTAATGTTTGCTTGTTTCAGTTGCCATAATGGCCGATGTAGAGATGGAGCAACCCAAAGTTGAACCCAAAGAAGAAGGAACTGAACAAAATGGAAACGCTGACAAGGGTGAAAACAAAACTTCTGTAAGTGAAGTTACTACTACTTCCGTGAGTTTTTACACACTTTATAATAATCTGAGCAGAAAAAGAGCAGAATTAGTTGTGGGCAAAATCATCGATGAGCAAATGTTGAAAGACTGGAACTTCGCAGATCTGGGCTGAAAATTAGTGGTGCAATCTTTAGGCCTTTAAACAGTTGCAGCGGTACATGTGGGACCTCTTAAGAAATAACAAATGGAATGGATAGGATAGGACATTTGTAATCAAGATATCACTTCTTATGCTGATTTGCAGGGTCCCAAAATGACGCGCTAGGATAGGCCTAGGTAGCCCCATGGGGTCCTTATCGTGCAAAATCAATCATTTCCGTTGTCAGCATGAGGACCCCTCCCCTACTCCCTCTCCCTTCCACGTTTGCCAAAGCGGAAAACAAGCTTTTGGAATTCGTTATCAGAATTGGAGTGGAACCGAGGTTCTTTGATTTTGCATATAAACCAAGATTGTAGGCCCAAATGAACTCAAAGGCAGTGCTCGCCTCGCCAAAATTGAGGTATTGCTTTTTAGCGGATTCCATTGAGGGACATCCTTATTGGGATAGGGGACGATCCACCTCCGCGGAAGGTCCTGCTGCGATACTGCTACAGGTAGTTAGAGCTACGGTAGTTCGCAGAACTGCCCAGAATTAAGACTCGCTCCCCCTACCCCTTTTTGGTTACTCTCCAGCTCCCATAAGCGGCCTCCTTTCGAGAAACCGGTAGTCAAAATGGCTCGACCCGAACAATTTGCTGGTCTTATCCGCGTTTCAACAAGTATAACAAAGCAACGACTTCGTCTTGACATGTCTAACCCTGCAGCGAAAGCTGTCTAACCCTGCAGCGAAAGCTGCAGGGTTAGACATGTCAAGACGAAGTCGTTGCTTTGTTAGAGGAAGAAAAGATCGTCTCGTTGCTTGCATGAGGCGCCTAGGAAAACAGGGTAATCGCTTTTTATGGTTATTTGTACACGTAAAGCTTGGTATAAACTGGAAGAGCTGTAATGCTAATGCGTGGAAATACCTGCACCGAAACTGACGACATTGCAACCACACATTGGGCGCTCTTGGGCCAAGCGAATCAATGTGGAAACACTATACGATTTCCGGATCGCAAAGGTTTCCAGTTGTGTTGTCCACAGTCGCTTTCCTTCATAGCACATTTCATCCTGCTCAACTCTAGGTCATAGGCCCCCCTACTTCTTTGAAACGCTCCCAAAAGCGCCCAAATTTTTCTAACATCTCTTCACTTTCTCTCTCTCTTCACACGAGAAAGTGAAGAGAATTAAGAATTTTGGGCGCTTCTGTGAAGTCTGGCCGGGGCCATAGGGAATTTAGTGCGCACAAAGACTTAAGGCTTGCACGTCATCCATTTTATATCTCAAAAATTGCCATCGGTAGCTCTGAGAAATGCCCAGTTTTTATGGCACAAAGCAAGTTTCTGTGTTTTCCACTCTTTAACATTGCCTTTGCAGGAATACGAGGAGAATGAAACATTCAAGAAGTTGCTGTCGCAGCAAATGAAAAAGTCTGTTGCTGAAGCCCTAATGAAGCTGTTCGATAGCGGATACATGACAGCTGAAGATGTCGACGAGCGAGCCGTAGAAATGATGAACTCGTTCCCGGAAGAACAAGCTCGCTACATTGTTGATCAATTGAGGGTAGGTGTTCCTGATCTTTTGTTCGCGAAGGATATAAAACCGCAGTGACGATGTGATAAGAGGCGTGTATGGTCATGAGCAGATTCGAACGCCGATCTCAAATCGTTACTTATGATTAAGCACTGGATGGTTGTCAATGATAGTAGTAAAGTCGATACAGGATCAGTTTATCACTTGATGCACTGTGTCAGTTTAACTGAAAAACTGCTAAAACAATCTTGTCTGTAGTCTGCCTAGCGAAATTCGGTGCAGTCAAAGACGTCGCTTGATAGAGAAACATTTATGAAGGCGCCGTGCGCGGGAATTTGCGGTTGGTGAGATTCTGATTTGGTACAAGAGCGAGTCTACTTAACAAGTATAGGAAGGTAGTTGAAGTGGTTTTTGAGAGATATATACCATTCGAGAGGGCGTGAAACGCTGTCAAATCTGCGTTGTTTATCTGCGGAGCATCGCACAAACAATCATGTGCATATATCAGAGCAAATGTTAAATGGGCGGCTAGGATAAAATCAGTCATGATATCTTTCCTCGGCTTAAAGGCAGCGTCTAGGAAAATCTGGATAAATGGGGCTCTCACGTGAGTAGTAATTTCGGGGCCCTAACTAAACCGCTGCCCAACCGGCAGCTCAGGTAGTGTTCTAACGGCAGCGATATTCGCATCGAAACTGGAACCCAAGCGAATATATCAGCCGTTAGAGCACTACCTGAGCTGCCGGTTGGGCCGTGGCTTAGTTAGGGCCCCGAAATTACTATCCATGTGAAAACCGCATATGTCCAAATTTGCCTGGACGCTGCCTTTGTCGTTAAGGTACTCCTTGCTATAAATACTAGTCTGGATATGCGCTAATCACTGTTGCTAGAAAAATACAACGGATTTTATCAAGGGCGAACATCTAATAGCACTTACGAACCCTCCTCCTCGCTATGAAACTCTTCGAGCGTAAAGCACCAAGCATACATCACGCGATCTCATCGCTTCGCAATTTGAGATTGGGGCGGTTCACTTAAATTAGCGGCCTCGCTATTGTATCATATCAAAATATCACCAACCTCAAATCAGGGTGGACAGTTTCAAAAAAGAGTCGCCAATGTGCGCAGTAGCGGCACCTAAATGGTAGTGATGTCGCTGTGCTCAAATCACTACGCCATTTTTTCCTTAACAGTGATAGATCTGAAAAATGGAGGGTACGCGTGGAAATTTTCCGTGCCATGCTCTCTGGTTCGCACTTTCTGTTACACAAATTTGATACGAGCAGCGTAAAAGAAGTTGAGACAGTTTTCTGAGAAAACGTACATGCTTGGCTAATGGTTGCTCGGCAGTGTTTGTGTGACGTGATGGTGTAATGATTGAGCACACCGTCAATCACTTTGCAAGTTGAAGATTTTAAGTCTAGGATGAACTTTAGCGTTGTATCCTTCCTGTCTTTTCGCCTCCTCTGTCATCATGTGTATAAGCTCATCCATACTTTGATTTGAACCTTCACCTTGCAAAAACGGTGGCTCAAACGCTACATCAACAGCTCACACTACTGTCCAAGTATAATCAGCAAGCATGAACATTTTCTCAGAGAACTGTCATAGCTTCTTCCAGGAGGCCGTTGAGCACTTTGACAAGACAGATTTGAAACCAGTGTTCAAAGCTGTATCCTGTGTTTTACATCATTGTCAAGATCGTCAGTGCGATATGGTATTCTTCATTGCAAGAAATTTGCTTTTTCAGACTTTTGAACATTCTCTAATTTGTAGGAGTCGCGGCTGTTCGGAGTGCAAAACAAGGCCCAGTACTTGATGTCCCTCATGCGTAACTTCCGTGACCGCGTCCGCAATCAGGGAGCTCAGTCTGTCATGGCTGGAAAGCTCATCACTGGACCAGATCCGGACAAGATGGCTGAAATTCTGAAAAGAACCGGATACTCGTTGGAAATCACCGTTGGACAGCGCAAATACGGAGGACCATGTCCCGGATGGGAAGGCCCAGCAACTGGACCTGCGGGTCAGGGGCATGAGGTGCGTTGCCGGTTAATTGCTCTAAGCTTTGGATATCAATATCTAATGTTTTAAGGTATACGTTGGACATATCCCGCATGAGCTCTTTGAGGACGCTCTTGTGCCCCTCTTCGAGCAATGCGGAAAGATCTGGGATCTGCGCTTGATGATGGACCCGATGTCAGGCAAAAACCGTGGCTACGCGTTCTTGACGTTCTGCGAGAAGGCATCTGCAGCAGAGGCGGCTAAGAAGGTTATTTACATCTCCATCTGTCCGACTCTCTCTCGCATCTAGGGGGCGCTCTTAGTCGAGCCTTGACTCTTTCATTTTGCCGCGCTTTCTTGCCTATTCTTTATTTTGTCACTTCGGTGTCCTTCTCGTCTCTTGTCCTTCACATTCGTTTTGCCAATGTTGTTTGACTTGTTTCTTTCCATTTCACCTTTTTATTTCTCATAATTTGGAAAAGATGCGTTGAAAACAGCGCCAAAACTGAAGAAAATGCGCAAAAAAGGCACGAACAAGCTGTGATTTTAGTATGATGGACACGAAATTTTGCCCGGAAAAGCTCTGAAAGTGAACGTCTCTGTCGCAAACACACGTCTGTTCCTTGGAAACATCCCCAAGTCGAAAACTAAAGACGAAATTCTTGAGGAGCTCAAAAAGCACGCAGGTAAAAAAGAGCTGAGGCCCTTGTCTCGTCTTTTGGAACAAGTTGTTTCGAGTTGTTTTGTTTTTGTACAATGGATGGGTTAGGTAAGCGAGCTAGATGTTCAGGTAACTTTAGGTTGCCGAGAGAAGTCGGCGCCGCCTAGTTTGTCTGTTTCCAGAAGGTGTCACCGACGTGATTGTGTACACGATACCAGATGCCACTGAACGACACAAGAACAGGGGCTTCTGCTTTGTGGACTTTGCCGATCACAAAACGGCCTCCGATGCGAAAAGGAAAATCCAGCAACACAAGGTATTTTGTGGAAACTAATAAACTCGTTCAAGGTTAAATGGTGTTTTGATGGTGCGCCACCTGATTTGAAGGAATTTGGGTTTTCGATGTGCTCACGGGACATGTGATGGTTTACTCGTCTGGAAATGGCTCTTACGTTCCAAAAATATGCGCAGTCATTTTAGCATCAGAAGTAACGGGTTTTGTTCAGATTCGACCCTTCAATAGCGAGCTTGTTGTCGACTGGGCTGAGCAACAGGATGAGCCTGATGAGGAGACCATGAACAAAGTATGATCATTAATTACGATCATGGGATATGACTGCCAGAAATAAGACTTGCTTTTTTTAGGTCAAAGTTTTGTACGTCCGAAATCTCAAGGAGTGTGTGACGGAAGAGAAGTTGAAAGAGATCTTTGGTACGTTTGGAGAAATCGAGCGCATCAAGAAAATCAAGGATTACGCTTTTGTACATTTCAAGGAACGAGATCCATGTGTTAAGGTTGGTTACCTTTATTGAGATTTGGTTACTCATCGCTGCAATAATGTGTATTTAGGCCCTAGAAGAGTGGAATGGTAAAGAGTTAGAGGGTGTCAGCATTGATTGCTCATTGGCCAAACCACAAACTGAAAAGAAAAAGAAGCCAATGATGCGTGGTCGTGGTATGGGTATGGGCATGGGCTTCGGAGGTCCACCAGGAGGATTCGGTGGTCGAGGTCGCGCCAATAACATGTATCCCAACATGTGAGTTTTTTGCGTCTAGAAATTTTTAATTTTTACTCAGTCGATGTATTTTTATTATAGGGGATTCGATGACTACGGTTACGGAGGAGGATATGGCATGGGAGGTGGTTACGGAGACTATGGTTACGGTATGGGAGGAGGTGGTGGCGGCTACGGTGGTGGCGGCTATGGAGACTTCCAAAACGGAGGTTACGGTGGTCCCCAAGGAGGGTTCGGAGGTGGACCCTTCGGTGGCGGCGGCTTCGGCGGCCGCGGCGGTGGTGGTGGCTTCCGTGGCGGCCGCGGCGGAAACCGAGGAGGATTCGCAGGGTGAGTGAAGTTCGCGTATTTCATTGCAAAGGCGTTGGCACTTAGCGTCCACCCGAATCGAGGGTAATGTGGTGGTAGTGTTATATGGTAGCGGGACACCTAAAGGAGCAATTGCTCAAGGCTCATCACAAAAATGAATTCCAAACAAACTCGCTCCAGAAGGTAGAAGCGGTCATGCTGGCTGAGCCCGTCAACGTGGATGGCCTAAAGATACAAGTCCGAAATTGGGATTTAAGTTAGGAAAGGTCGCATTTTGGATGACTTGTTGTCTGGAGACCACGTTGATGGGCGTAGTCAGCGTGGCCGCTTCCATCTCCTATATCAGTTTTCCTCGTTTGGAATTCATTTGTTGTAGCGAGACTTGGGCGGTTGATTAGTCATGGGCCCTGCTATCATATAACATCAGAATCTCATCACCTTCAACTTGAGTGGACGGTGCCTTTAACGTTTTTGTGGCTAAGTGGTATCTCAGCACTAATATCTAATTGAATTACAAGAAGTCAATTTCCAGACGTGGCAAGCGACCGGGAGATCGATCCGGTGGTCCAGCGTCGAAGAGGGATAACGGTGCGCCAGACTTTTCGGCCGATGTAAACATGAGCTCGTTCTAGATTTGATCTGATGTTTCTTCTCCCGTATATTCCTCTTGAATGTCTGTTATATTGTGCTGTGCATACTGGCAGTTCTACCGTGACTTAATGTTGTTCTGCTGTTGAGTTTGTTGGCGCGATAATGATGTCGCTGTGTTCGTGTCCCTCAGTATCTCGTCTTTTTTTCTTTTCTTTTTTCTTTTCTCTCTATAACAACTATGTTGTCAAGTTTAATTATTATCATTATTAAATAATGTGAATTATTTATTATGATTTGACATCGTCAAAGAGCTTACGGCTAGTTTATTTGCAAGGTAAAATTTGATGGTGATATATGTTATGCACATGTTGAAAACCTTGTTTTCAAGACAAGATGGGCACTATGCCAAAGACTATAGATGTTGGGAATATGCCGAGAAAGATATTAACTGGTCAGTTCAAAGTATTTGGGGATTGTATAAACCTAGGCAGTTAAAATGGCCACTCAAGCCGGAAAAAGTTACGTTTTCCTGCAAGTACACGGGGAAGTTGGGGGGATTTTGAGTTTTATTGTTACACTATATCATCACATTGGCAAAACCAGGATAACTTCGGGGAATAGATTGAACATTTTGAGAAATCACCAAAGGTTTCGATTTAATGGGAAGGCACGTGCTACAGAAGTATGTGAAGACGTCAGCGAGTTTCTCATTATAATGGCTCACACAGTGCTATATCGATTCGGCGGATATCCTCCGGAAGAATTTCGCGAGTATTCGTTTGGAGAAGTGATCACAACGAAGGTGGGTGTTAGTGTTGTAACCCTGTAACCCTTGACGAGAATTCTAATTAAGGGTTACAGAGTATCCCATAATCTTGGATGTAAGCTGAATGACATTGTTGACGTCTCGTTGAATTAAGGAATCATGGGTTACAAGTGCTTCAAAGTATAAGCTATCTATCATATGTCACCGAATTGTGCCTCTGCGTGCCAGCATTTGCAAACAATATTTGCTTGTGAACAAATTGCTATATCCCTGTAACGCCGGCATTTTGCAAATTCCGCGTCCTCTGGTACTTTGCTCACGCGCAAATGTTGTCAGGAAATGTCTGCATCGCAAGGACACAATATACCGGACTGTGGCCTACATCGTTTGTCATTTGAAGCAAGGTTTTGGATTTCACTAGCTCGCAGATTAGAGGACCAACTGATGTTGAGCACAAACGAACGTCGTAATCATCAGGCTTTGGTTACTTTCTGTGGTGACTTCTTGGGCGAAAATATACTTTCGAACCTGCTCGCCTTAGCCTTTGCCCTTTGCCTCACTGTCGAGAGAATTGTCATAAGGAACCTTTATGGACAAGTTTGCTGAATATCTGGCTGAGCTTGAAGGCAGTGTCCAGGCAAATCTGAATGTGGGGCTCTCACGTAGAAAGTAATCTTGAGGCCCTAAATAAGACTCTGCCCAAGCGGCTGTACAAATAGTGCAGGCCACCTCTCACTTATAAGGTCAGATATTTATAGTTAGTAATAATTGGGTGAGCAGGCTATGAAAATTCACTGAATAGAGGAGCAGGCGAAAGCGACAAAACGCGCAGGAACAGAGAAATCGAAGTTTCGCTCGCTCTTGCGACAAATTTGTTCAGAGTTGCCTGTGTGTCGGCGCTGGGCTAACGCACTCCCAGAGCCGTGCCAGCGCCGTGCCAAAAGTTGTGCACACTCCCCGATCGAGCGAACTTGCGGCACGGCTCCAGCGCGACACTGGAACGGTGCTGGCATGGGTAACTCTGGGCAGCCTAAGCCTCAGTTCTGGCCGCCTAGAACGAAGGCGGGTCTTTTGTTCAGTGCTAAATTTGAAACTGTCGCCTTCTTCGTCTTGTGCCAAATTTGAGCGTACCTGCTCTATGGGTTATAAAAATGTGCAAGTGACTTGTTTATTCTTGTAAACGTTTATTCTTGTAAACACTCGAAATAGTTTTTATAAAATTTAAAACCCAAATTAGCCTTGTAAAGAATTTTTCTCGGGGGCATGGCTGACGCTGGGGTTGGGGAACCCTCGAAAATTTTGAGAAGCACTCCAAAGATTTTTTCTGGAGCACTTCATGAAAAGCTTTTTTTTGCCGTCCCCCCCCCTCGCACGGGAATCCTGGGACCGCCACTGCTTGCATGTAGTCTAATAGATCTGACGAATATGGTTTTCCTAGATCTTGGTCAACACCGGGCGTGTAGGCTGCGTCTGGAGTTGCCTGTATGCAAGTGCCCGGCTAGCGCCATGTCAGCGTCATGCTAGCGGAGGACGTGCGTTATACTACAAAGACCTCGCCGCCATAGTCGGCACGCGCACCGAGCTGGCTTACTGTATCTCGCGCCCATTTTGCACCGGTGAGCTTGAGCCATGAGGCAATCTGCGGACGCAGCCTCGTCAACTTTGCCGCGTTGCGACGTCGCGCCGCGATGTCGCGAATTTTACAAAAAGTTACATGAAGTGCTCAGAAAAAATTCTTCTTTCAGATTTTAACGTGCGATATCGTCCGTCGCACCGCATAAGGTAAAAAGTTCAAAAAAACTTGTTAATTTCCTATTTTCTATTCATGTTCATTTTGAAGTAAAACCAAGAAAAGAAAGTCTGGCATCAGCTACCTACTTTTGTCCTAATAAGTCCGTAGGTCATCATCGCCGCGTTACTAACCTCAACTTGCAATCTAGGCCACAGGTCACAGCTTGCAGTGACAATTAAGTATCTATATCATGGCAAAAACAAACATGAAACAAAAAAAAGAAAACTGAAGAAACACTAGGGAGTTTTCAAACGAATCTTTTGTTTTTATTTGGACATATAAACGAACATGAATCAGATAAAACACAGGAAATTAACAAGTTTTCCTGAAATTCTCACTTTATGCGGCGCGATGGACGATATCGCACGTTATGAAAGAGGAATTTTTTCCGAGTATTTTCATGTAACTTCTTGCAGCGGCATCGCGCGCGACGTCGCACCGCGACAGAGCTGACGAGGCTGCATTCGCGCGATTGCCCCAGGGCTCAGGCTCACCGGTGCAAAATGGGTGCGGGATACAGCAAGCCAGCTCGGCGCGCGTGCCGACTATGGCGGCGAGCTTTGGCGGCGACGCTAGCGACGTGCCAGCGCCAGCGTGGACGCGCCCCGTATTGATTGAACGACACCGGCATGGCGTCACGGAGCTGGGGAAGCAACTCTAAACGCAGCCTAAGAGATGGTAATGGCAAGCAAAATTTGAAGAACTAGCAGATTCTTTTTAGCCATCTTTTATATGCAAGTTTTAATGGCTTTGAAATCAATAAGCGTTGTTAAAACGAGGCACTTCAATAATTTGTCAAATTTACTAGAGTACGAATGAAAATAGGCGCTGTTCTACATTATTTTCTTCTATCTCAGATGTTCTCGGACTTTGGAGAGATACATCTGATCCTCTGAACATGAATTGGATTTTGTAACAGAATGGCTTTTGTGGAGATTTGTTATGTTATTCTGAAAGGAAGGGGTGTTTTTAATCACAGTATAGGATTTCGCCCAAATTGGCAGCATGCTGCTATAACGCCACACCCCTTTTTTCCAGAATCTAGTCAATGTGACCCCAAAAACTTCAAAGCATCTCAAAAATTCTTTGGAGGGCGTCTATAATGCTACACCTCTTTATTCGAAACAGGTTTTTGTACACCCCTCCCCTTTTTCCCCGAAAATCAATTTGCTACTATAACATAAGTTTTGTAGGACCCGGAAGATCATCTGTACTTTTAGTCACTCAGGGAAAAATGACTGCAAATTATGTTCGATTGATAAATGGGTGATTGTATGGAGAATCTCCAAAACTTGCATTCTTTATTTTTGACGTTTTTTATCACAAAACTAACAAGGGAACCGTGTCGAGTCGAAGTGGCCTTTCCAGATGAGACCCATACTGCTTTGAAGAGCATTAATCGGTGATTCTAAATCTGCTTTCCAAATCTGCCAAGCGCCTCTGGACGCCAAGTTATGCTCGTTTTTCAGGTCAAAAAATTGAACGCAAAACCGAAGCAAAATCGCCCAAATTTGCTCAAATGGTCCAGTGTTAAGTATCAGAGATGCTTATGCAATGGATACATTTTATTTAATATGCTAATACTTAACATTGCTTTATCTGAGCGCTGGAAGGATTGTAACAATCAATTTTACCTAGATTCTGCATTCATTTTTCGTTCCGAAGAACGGTCATAACTCGGCGTCCAGAGGCGCTTGGCAGATTTGGAAGGCAGATTTGGAATCACCGCTTAATACTCTTCAAAGCAGTATGGGTCTCATCTGGAAAGGCCACTTCGACTCGACACGGTTCCCTTGTAAGCTTAGAGTTGAAGGATTGCAGAAACCAAAAAAAACGCGCTCGTAAGAATTTCCACCTCAGTGGATGCTTGCTGTAATCACACTTTTATGATCATATTTTGGAGTTATTTTGACAAGCCCGCTTGATCCATGCATTGTAGCAACGACTGAAGACCCCCAAGTCTTAGCACAAAGAATTATCGCCCACGAGGATAAGTGGATTTGCGGGCGTGTACAAGGCAGCAGGTGTTCAGAGGTTCTTAAGTAGCGTCTAGCGCAGCTGCTTATAGTATGCAAAGGACGAAGGAGTGGAGGGGTACATGAATGCCATTTAAAATGTTATAAACTGCACACTTAGGGCCGCATGTACTAGCATCCGTGCTGGGCAGGGGATCGCGGTTTGAAAGAAGGCTTTATATTCTGAAGCTCCAGATATATGGATTTCACACTGTCTACCTCTACGCAAGTATTTCCGCCATCCCTCACTATGAACACAACGAGAGCAAGAAGCTGTATAAGCCACATTTTCCAGCTTTTTTGTATGATCCCCTGATGATCCCTCCCGGCCAGTCGTATTTTCTTCCAACAAGGGAAGGAAGGTTGTCAAAGTGGCTTTTCAAAATGAGATGTATACCATCTTGTAGAGTTATCTGCCGCGGGCCTTTAGACAAGGAGTTGTGAAGGCTTTTGTGATTAGAAAGTTAAATGCAAGATTAGTGTAAAATCAGTCGTAGCATTTTTTCCAGGGCTTAACTGGTAGTCGGGTCACTAGGTGCAACAAATAGTCTTGAATCAAATATACAACTATCTGCTGCCTCATTTGAACGTTGTGGAAAGGATAACTGATTTTGTACTACTCATGCTCTGAAGTTTTACTTAAAACCTTTATAACCCCGCCCAGAAACCCGCAGCAGATATTAAAGGTAGATTTGGAATCACCATTTCAAGCTATACATGACAGTGTACATCTCATCTTAAAAGGCCACTTCAATCAACTTTCCTTTCCGTGTAAATCATGTTTCTTCTTTCGAAGTTCACGAAAACCTCCGAAGTTGTACTGATTATCTAACTTAACATTGCTAAGTATGTTGCTGATAAGAATGAGTTTTCGAAACGTCTTTTTTGATGAAACCCAACTTTCGATTTGTGGTTCATCGCAAAAATCATGACTTCGAAACATCACTTGTTCTTACAAGAAACATGATTAGTACTACTTTGTTAGATAAACAGAAGAACTTTGGATGTCTTTATGTCTTCCAAAAAAAAATGACTGCAAAGAAAAGACGGTCGTTCTCGGGGATCATCACGGGATCATACAAAATGCTAGAAAATGCGGCTTGTACAGCTTTTCGCTCCTGTCCAATATGTTCATAGTGAAGGATGGTGGGAATACTTACAGATAGGGATATAGCGCGAAATCCAAATAGCTGGAGCTTCAGGATTTGAAACTTCCTTTTGAGGTGATTCCCATCCTCGGCGGGGGCGTTATTGCGTGTGGGCCTTAGCTATTCAGCTGCTGTAGAGATTGAAATTGGCACCTTTCCAATATTTGGGTACTCTGTGCGGTTCTGATTCTTGTGAATGAAGCAGGTTCATTTTGAAATGCGTGAAATAAAGGGGATTCAGGTGATTACGGTCGTTTAAATTTTAGTCGTGAATTTCCTTCAGGATGGCATGGGAAAATGTGAAATTATTTTATAGTTGTGGCTCAGGCTTCTTATATTTACGTTTCATTTTCATTTAAAATATTTTAGTTGATACGAAATTTAATGCAGGTAGGTTTTGTGAAACTCATGAATTATTCTTCGAAGCCAAAATCTTTGCTGTTGCGATTGAGAAAAGAATTAACAAATCAAATGTGAAATACTAGAATTTTCGTGCTCATCAATATTTCTGAGGTCAGCTAATGAGTACTTAGGAAAATTTACTTCATTGTTAGAAATTATTAGAAGGCGCAAAAATTTTTTAACATTAGGACTTTTCCCCCCCCCCCCCCACCTTCTTGTTTTAGTTCTTAGCCATAGTACACATGTGCAATAACATTTGTACAAGCGTTACTGGTCACACTACTTTTTATGCGTCTGCCCTTGCAAGTGCGAACCCAGTGAAGTTTTTCTTTGACTGTTGCGGGGTAGTTTCTGACCGGTTTTTTTCGCTGTTTACCAGGAACGATCGGAGGGTGATTCGATGAGGGAAAAAACTCGTTTTCGGCTAGGCGTTCGGAGTTTTTGTGTTTGACATGGGAAAGACACTGAAACAGGGGTGACTCATATTGGAAGATGAAAAAATCTGGGAAGATAGTGTATAGACGCGCAAAAAAGGGGGAGGGGAGCAAATCCGGCTAGGGAAACGAAAAAAGTTTTTTTTGTCGAAATACAATATTGTTATGACTCGTAAGACTAGCTTTTACAATCTTGATTTGCGGTGGAGTTTTTCAAGTGAGAAATCAAAAACTTGACGGTTTTTTGAAAGTAATCACGATCTACCAATTTCTAAAATATCAAGCCCTTACCTCGCCCCCCCCCCCCTGACCTTTCTTTTTCTCTTGTAAGTATAGGTTTACATTTAGACATGTGTCGACGAACAAGTGATCGCATATTGTCAACGATCTGCACATCTGGCAAACCAGGCAATGCAGAAACATAATTTGGAACAGTATGAGGGTTAGTAGATAAGTTCTGAATTAAACGAGAATTCGCTAGCTAATTTGTGGGCTAACAAGTTGCAAAGGTCATTAATCCTGACTGAAAGTTTTCAAGAATTACAAAAGATTTTTTACATTAAGAATGATATGGCCGCTTTCATACCAAGTTAAAAATGGTGCCTGAAATTTGCGGCTAATTTTAGAATTCTCTTTTCAAAAGTGGCATATCCATTTTTGACATGATGTATATTCAGTGTGCTTTTCGGAGTAGTAACAATTTGATACTGAGTAAAAAATAAAAAATCTTGAATCAAACACTAACCCGAAAGCATAAATTCTTGTCAGAGAACCTCTAACAATTTATGTCGAATATTGGCTTAATGTGTTTGGGATCGGCCATACTATTCCTGCTATTCCTACGACTCCTGCGATTCCTGTGAGTCCCGCACAGTTTATACGCCGCTTAAATGAGCGCGTGTTGCGTGCTACGTGTTGTTTTGCGCAACACGCGCTCATTTAAGCGGCGTCTAAACTGTGCGGGACTCACAGGAATTGCAGGAATCGCAGGAGTCGTAGGAATAGCAATAGTATGGCCGATCCCCTTGATTCACAAGCAAACGGCTCAAACACCTTTGTTCTCAAAAATCTCGAGTTTGACTACATTTCGAGAATTGCTTGGTTTTTCTTTTTTTTACATCTTATATATAAAGCTGAATGTCTGTTTGTCTGTTTGTCTGTATGTCTGTCTGTATGTCTGTCTGTATGTATGTACGTATGTTCCGAATACAAATTTTTATTTCTGAACCGATCGGGACCAAACTTGGCACACATATACTTCAGGGCAGGGAGCGTGTCATAGGCTACTTTTCGTTATCGATCGATATCGATTTTATTGATTTTTTGCAAAATTCGAGCTAGAGGGCTGGGATTTGGCAGAGGGGGGTAATCGAGCATGCTGATCACCCCTTCGGGGTGATCAGCATGCTCGATTACCCCCCTGTGCAAAATCCTAGCCCCCTAGCTCAAATTTTGCAAAAAATCGGTAAAATCGACATCGATCGATAACGAAAAGTGGGCTGTGACACGCTCCCTGCCCCGAAGTGTATGTGTGCAAAGTTCGGTCCCAATCGGTTCAGAGATAAAAATTTCTATTCGGAACATACGTACACGGGTCTAGCTGGCAGGCCCGGCGGAGCCGGGCAGGCCAGCTAGTCAGAAATAAAATAGTTTGCGCATATTCATTGTTCACAACATAATCTACATCATACCAAAAGTGGGTGCTCCGCTTTCAAAAGGAAAAGCTGAGGATTTTCAGTTGTAAAATTTGGTTGCCAACCTACTTCGAAGATTTGCGGACATCGTCATGCTAGTTTTGATAATAACCGGGTAATCCATGTGCAACTTCTTCTCTCATGACTCATCATTTTCTCGTTTTTGGAGAGAGATAGTACGCATTTTTGTATACCTGATTTCTAAATCAATCTCTCGTTTCCCGAAGTCTTTTGAAGCGCTCTGTCCCTCTAAAATTCGCTAGTCTGTGGTGACAAAAATGTATGGGCAGAAATAGGAGTGTAAGAGTCAGGGGCGGTGTTCCTTAGTTTTGATGAATTTTCTATGTGAAATTATGCTTGCATAAATTTGTCTGCAATTACTCTGTAGAGCTTACTTTTTGATATTTCACACATCTTGTTTGAACCAAGCTATTGCAAAAGTTGTCAAAAGCAATGGAAGAATTTCCTTTTAACTGCTGACCCAATGCAATATCTCGATAGCAAATCTGGCAACCAAACATTTGCTTTCGGTCGAATGGTCTTTTTTATGACTATTTATCAACTGCGCTCTCTACCTGATATCAGTTGTACACACTTCCTCAACAAATATCAACAGAGCGATGATTTGCGAAAGAGAACGCTTCTGTAAATAGATATCTGATTGCTTAGAGTCCTCTCTCATCGATGTATAACTGTTCGGAGTCTTCCAAATCTGAACGGAAGTAGTAAGGAGCAATGTTTATTTACCGTTTGAGGCAGACACAAAGATCAGTTTGCCGATTGACTTTCTCATCTTCCTGTTACATATGGTCGATGAGATTGATAGTGACATTGCGCATTGGCGAAGGACCTGGTCAAGTTTCCGGTCGAAACGAAAATGAACAACTCATGAACATTTTGTCTACAAAAAATTTGTTTGTATGTAAGGTCTACTCATGCACGAGTTGTTAGTGTTTTTGCAAATAAATATGATTTCTGTATCAGTGGTTTCTTTTTTACATGTATCGACCATATCGACCATACCTACCTTTGATTCAACCGGCTTGACGGCGGGAAGGTGGGGCTTTGTGACCTAATTAAGGCCGCTCGCCCCCGTTACGCAGTCTGCGTCTCTCTCGCGCGCGTGCTTTCTGATCATTATCTAGCCTTAATTAAGTCACGAAGCCCCGCCCTCCCGGCAAGCCAGTTGAATCAAAGGGCATTCTGATGAAGAATGTGATGCTGAGATTTTTTTATTGGGTCCAGTCAAGAATCATTGTTTTTTTTTTCTTTTCAGTCTCCATCGAAGACAAAGATGGTGAAGCACTCATCTCTTTTCGGATACAATTTCGACGATCACCAAACTTCTATAACCGGACCATGTAAGCGATTTACTACTTGATTCTACATAATGCAAAGTGAAAAAATCACCTTTTTTTATAGAAAAAACCTAGTGGAACCAGAATTATGCCAACTTCGACACAACTTAGCCGATGCTTTGTTGAAATTACAGTCGCTGACGATTTCTGAAGAACTTCAAGATCGGCTAAGTACACGTATGTTTCCTGAATTTCTTTTTCTGAAAACGGATTTGCGCTAACCAATATTTGAGAATGCCTATACCAAACACCTTTATCGCCTCGTAAATTGTAAATGTCATTGATAGCAGTGGGTCATGCGCTCGAAATTTTGATCACGATAAGAAAGGCATCAATGTTCTACTAGCCGAAAAGAGATTGAACAAAACTGATCAAAGTACATTACCGCAGCCTCGATACTCAAATTCGAGTTTTTCATATATTATATTACGTGTTTTTTCGGCAAAAAAATACTAATGAGACTAGATTGTAGAAAAAAAAACCTCATCAGTTCAAACCCTAACTGCCTGATGAATCTTGGAGTACTTTTTTGCATCCAAAGTTCGAAGATACGCTAGAGTAAACTAGTCATTTGTGCAAAAGCACACGACATGCACATGCGCGTCAAAAACTGAACATGTCTCACAGGTCATCTAGAAAAATCAATAAATATTTTCTTGTATGTTCAAGCCACAATCATGTCAACTTGCTGTGAAAGACGTTAGTTAAAGAGCCGGGCATACTTCACGCGATTCCAGTCGCGACGCGATTTGGCAATATTCCAAATGTTCATAACTCACTGTAAGCATAATTTAAATGTACAAAAGATGGGGCATTTATCAATCCACATAAGTCATACATACTATGCATGTGCAGTTTGCTAGTGTTGGATCTGAAGACTTCTGGCGAATCGCCAAATCGCGTCGCGACTGAAATCGCGTGAAGTATGCCCGGCCCTTAAGAACGCAATTCAAAATTTGTTTTGTGAACAATATGTTTTTCTATTGCCGCTAAAATCTCGTATCTCACGCGCAAAGTGCATATCGTACGCAATCGCACGTATCAAACTCGAAACGACTAGAGCGTAGATGTAAAAGTATGTCTCCATCCATATTATCTCTTATCGTGTTTGATTACTAAATCTACTGAGCTACTTTGGCCCTGGAGCTCGAAGCAAGAAAAATTTCCTAAGCAAATTGAGCGTTTATACTTTCCAGCTACCCGCCTACGAATTCGTCTTCAACTCTGTAATAAGCAACCAAAGCGTCTATTCAAGACCACAAGCGAACCGACACTGCCAGGTGTTCTAATACCATGGGCGGATCCCGTGAAGAACGAGTACAATCAGGTGTGTAATCAGTATACGATCTAATGGGTTCTCGCCGCGAATTGTTTGTATGGCGAACGCGATGCAAAATGCAAACGATTCTCGCATCCGTCGTTATCTCCGCTATCATATGCACATTCCCGTTCCCAAATTGCTTTTCGCCATTTGGCACGAGATAAAAGGTGCAGTGGTGCGTGTTTATTTGCACACTCAGCATTTTGCAGAGTACGGTAGAAACCTATACAATAATTCCATACAAGCTTAAAGGATGAAATGTATTTGGCGTTGATTGGCTTTATCAGATGCAAATGCACTATAATTTGAAGTCGCAAATAATCCCCACAAATTTTCGAGCCATGCTTAGCATCAAAGTAAACAACATGACAGCTGAAGCACAAAATATTATTTTAGTGCAACTGCACCAAGTAAATTAGAAGTCGACGACAAATATAGCACTCAGTCACGAGCCCACAGCACCAGTACATACTTTTTAGTAGAGCTAGTCAGAGAAAAAATGACTGCTTTACTCTTAATCTTAAAAGGAGACAACACTAAAGTACGCGGTGTGAACCGATTTGCAGTCAGGACATTTCCATACAAGACCATCGCGCGCGGCACACCCTGGTTTTACCCGAGAAATTAGAATAGTGAGGAGAATTCTGCCATGTGCGCAACATGTTAAGACAAGTCGCAATGGCTGTCGAAGCTATCCTCGCGTCATAAATCAATATGTGTATTACACACATTACCCGCAACTTGACGACTTTCAAGATTATGAAAGGCTCGTTTCTGTGATTTTTCATTGTTTTCATGCCTTTTTTGATTTGATTTGAAATTTACTAGGTAATAGTACACATTTCTACAGCGCATATTGTGCAGACTCGCATATAAAATTACGAATGATTCGAGGACATTTCAATTAACAGTTCCAAATGGCTCATTTCAAAGGTTGAAGCAAGTTTTTTCTGCACAAATTTACAGCTCACGCAGACCAATACGGTATTAATATATAACCAACCCCCCCCCCCTCCCCATCATCTTGTTGTAAGAATTCTTCGCAGGAAAAACCCCACAGAGATAAATACCGCGTTAGATTTTAGAAGTTGGAAAGCTGCCAAACTCTTGTAACATATTTATTTTTCAGCTCCTCTTCACTGCTTTCGTACCACCTGACTCTTCAACAACTGATTATTGACGATCTCTTCAGCAAAGCAACAACAACGGATATGATCTTGATTCTTTATTATTACTTTTGCTTTCAGTATGATGATCAGTTTCTAACTCATTTTCTTGGGATCATTCAACAAATAAACCATTATTAATTGACAATATAAACGCTGACAACAACAGATGTGTTTGTATTGCTTAGAAGAATGATCTACAATTGCGAAAAAAAAATACTGAAAGAATCATGATCAAGGATATCAGGCGATTGTAGGAAAAAATGCCACACCTCAGTGTACATGTTAAAATGTACAACAAAATGATGGAACTGTGAGATGGGCCAAAAAATCTACAATCTCAGTGGGATGTTAATTCAAACAAAGAACTTCAAATAACGTCATTATAGATCTAATCACGGACGTTATTTTAACCATCGAAGATTACAACCAGTATATGACTAGCACATACTAATATCAAACATTCAGAGAGGAGTGTGGACTCGATCGATGTACACGAAAAACTCTAATAAGGCGCTAAACAACGACTCGGCACTCGTGCTTTTGATGTTTTAGTTAACAACTAATACAAATTGAGAGGATTTGGAGAGTAAACATCATAAACAACAGAGAATTAACAAGCATACTATCACCCGAATCTGACTGTTAAGAGCGAGAGAGAAACGGTACGTGTGTTAGAATGCTGATATACTTGTAGATGAATTGTATTAGTGACAATAACTAAGTTTAGGCCGAGTTCTACGCAGTGGAAATATCTCAGAGGGAACATGTGTTTTGGAAAATATGAATATCGATCGATTCAAGGAGAACAGGATTAGAGGACCCGTGGTACTGGCCCGTTTCGTGCGTGTAATATACGCACAAAATCGGGACTGAACCGTGCGCGAGCCAAAAAAAAAAAGAGAAATTATTTGCAAAACATGAGAATAGTGGATGAACACTAGCGTGTAGGACGTGTACGACGATATCAACGACATCACTATGTACAAGATCGTTCGACTGGTGTAGGCAGGGAGAACTAACGGAAATTGGAAGTATGGAAGTTTTGGGTCAGGCGTGCGACTATGAACGCGCTCATGCTCACCTAGGCGATTTCGAGCGATTCTCAGCGACATGTTTTTGCCACTACTGGAAGCATGAACGAGCTCACAGCTACACCAGATAGAAGTCTATCAGACCAAATTATAGTAAGTGCTCCATAATGCGCGCGAGCGTACACGTCACTTAAGGGGCTCTGGGCGTTGGCGATACCGGGCGACATAGTGCGACAGTAGGCGGCGAGCAAATTCACGAGATCAAAAAAGTATGCGACGAAGTGTCAGACCGTCACCACAATGTCACCAACTCATCTAACGAGCCCCGATGGATATATACAACTGCACTAGAGGCAACACCTGAACTGGACACATAGCGAGATGTGTGTTGTGTGTACACAAAGAGAGAAAAAAAAGAGAAAAGACCCGACTGCTTCACAGGAGTCGTACAATGCAATGCAATAAGAGAAAGCAAACAAAGAGGTTTCTGTGTTGGGGGATCATGCGCAGCGCGAGCGACATCACTCTGACGAGCTTAGCCGCTCGGCCACGAATGTCGAGCATCATGCGAAGATCCATTGAGAAAAAAAATGAGACAGAGGAAGGGAATCGTCGCCAGGACACTCGCTTACAGACCCGAAGTATGAGAGAACCTTTTGTGCGAGTATGCATGCAACAGAGACCATGCACTGCATTGAGTCCTATCACGAACACATACGCGCACGAAAGGCTTGGCAATTTGAAGATGGGCGTGGCGAAAAAAATTGCCACGCACAAACACCTTCGTTATGCACAGAATCACATACAACGTTATAGAAACAACGACAAAAAATTGAAAAAACAAACAAGTTACAAAAACAATAATATAGGAAGAAACGATAGATTGCCCTCTAATGGTCTCATCACCATGCACATTAATTGCGTATGGGACTAGACAATACAGATACGCTTACTTGATTACGAAAAAAAGAAACGATAGAGAGAGACAGAAACTTGGGCAGAATACGCTACAGTTACAAGTTATACTGGGTATTGAAGATCGATAATATAGAAAAATACAAAAATACGGTTGTTGGCCGCTAAGCGGCGAGCAAGAATAATTGAGAAGAAGCAATAAGAGAACGGTGTCGTACGCATGCTTTAGGTCTTTTGATGAAGGATAAGGCTGGGCCTTCGTCCTTTTATTGCCTAAAAATGGACTCTTAAGTACCAAAAAAAGAAGGAAAACTCTATGGCTACAGAAAGTTGACTGCAGCCGATTTGCAAGAAAAAGAACAACATATCCAACCTTATGATGCAGCGACAGCCGCGATGAGACGGAGTGGATGTACACGCATTCCAGATGGTGGACGTAATGCGGATTTTTGTGGTGTCGTAGGCATAGTTGACATCTCTCCGACATCGCTCAAAGATGGAGCGCTTGAACATATTGAACTCGTTTCCATATCGCTATTGGCTTCCACTGATGAACCACTACTCATTGAGCTGGAGTCGGATTGCGAGCTGAAGGCCTAAAAAGCGAAAAGAATTTTAAAAATGAACACGAAGTACCACAAAAGTCTAAGCTGCTTACCTCATAGATCCATTCAGTAGGTGGAAGCGGTATAGCGCGAGCAGTTGGCGAGTCGCTGAACTTTGAACCAGCATAGCATTGATTAGCACCAATCTTAGCATTGAATGAGATCGGACGACGGGCTTGACGCCGAGCAACCTAGAAAACCCAAAACTCATTACATATTCTACTCAAAAATAAAAAGAAAACCCTTACCTCCTGTCTACCTTTCGGTGTTGCCGGAGCAGACGCGGAAAAAGTTGCAGGACCCGGTGAGCCGAATAAAGCTACATTATGTTGCTGTTGCTGGCGATGATGATGATGATGACGATGCGCACGGGGTACACTTGCTGATGACATATTCATTGTTGACTTGTTGCAATTTTGAAAACCGGGTTTGGAATACTGGTATGATGAGATGCGATCTGAGAAGGCGCGGCGTCTTCTACGCGATATTACCTGTAAAAAACGTAAATCAGAAAAAGAACGATTATTGCGAGAGTGTTCTTTCAAGAGAATGATTTGCTTTCCAAAAAAAAAAATCAAATACTGCGGAAGTTTTAGCATTCAGAGTAGCGGACATGTCGCCGAAAAGGGAAGTCTCGTGTGGACATCTGCAACAAATACGCACATCCTCTACATGTGAGAAGCGTATTTGTAGTAAATGTCCACGTGAGACCTCTTTCGGCGACATACAATCCTCACAATTTCTATTTCAACTATACCGTCTCATGTAATCGTGCAATGATAGAACGTAGTTGAGAATCAAGGAACCAATGAGTGATGCTCAAACACGTGCCATGAAACACGTCACTTTCCCCCTACCATTTCCCCTACAGTGATATGGACCACCTTTCTTGTAAAAAAGAGCCATTACCATAGAGGCATGATATTACCTTTTGCAAAAAAACATATGAGCGGTACTACACTTTCTGAACAACAAGAAATGACCACATTTCATCATGCTATATCACTGAATTATAATGCGATTATTAACAATGCAAAAAAACACTTCCATATCAGTCCCTTCACATGTTTACAGCCCCATGTGACAACATTACGAAATCCTATCTGCTAATAACATCAAGCATAAAAAAGGACTTTCGCACGCGTTAGCGGACAATCTCGTGAGAGGAACGACCGATTATACGCGATGTTACTGTATTAACGATGTTTTACGAGAATGTGTACCCAAATAAAACATCAGCATAGCATTATCTACATAAATTAGCTTTCGCGAGTGGATAGTGTATGTGTGATTTCCTGCAAAAAAAGTTTCTCAATAGAACATATATGCGACTGAAGAAGTTAACAAGGCAACCGCGCGGGAAATTTGCTGAAGAAGTCGGAGCAAAAGAAGGGGGAAGAGTGGTCCAGATCCCGTGAGTTATTCGAGTCATGACGTCATGACTGTTTTAATATAAAGTACAAGTACATGCAATACCCTAAAAATAATCTCCACCCACGGAAAAGAAGCGTAACTACCCATTCATGCTTGAAACGGTACAAGCTTTGGAATGCACTTTGTTGGTATTACCATGGAAGAAAGTCTGGCGAACTGAGTAAAAAGTCAAAACGTACTAACCTGATGAGAATCCTTCGTTCAGTTAGAGTAATACAGGACACCAAGCACGCTGATGTCATAAAATGTTCTCCCTGAACTAAATAAAACTTAATTACATTTCATAAACGATAATAACTCATTTAAACCTACCAGATCAAGTGGAGAACGTAAAGCTGCACGTGTTTTCTCACTCTTCAAACTGATGGAACTTTCACAACCTTGTGATGGATCGATAACCGTAGCCAACGTGAGCGACGATGGTACAACACGCAGGACGCTTTAATGCGCTAAAACTGAAAACGAAACGATTTTCGCCACGAAACTAAAACGCCACATTCGACATCTGTGCGATCGGGCGCGCTCGAAGTACGACCGCAAAAGATACGAGATATACACAGCGATGATTGCATCGTCGTACAAAACTTTTTCGTGCGACAATGAAGACGGAGAGAGAAGGAAAAAAACCTCTGGCAAACAGGAATTTATCCACTAGAGCGGGCAAAGGAACGATTCTGATGGATATGGATCTGGGTCAAGCAGTTGTGTTGAGGAGCTAGCTAATCGCATGGATATCGGCGTCGGTATTTACCAATCTCTCGACCGGGGGAGGGGATATTTATCAATCTCCCGGTCTCTGATTAGGCGCTATTTCACCGTTATGAACGAGCGCTCAACTGGGTGGTGTGCTTCGTTTATAACGGTAGAAGAGCACCGAATCGAGATCGAGAAATTGATAAAACCATCTGAGATATGTGATCAATCGATGGTAATTTATCTTATAGGCGCCAACTTTGTCCAATTAGGAGCTCCTCCAAGATGGTAGAACAGCTCCCTAACAGACAACGGAAAGATTGGCACTACCGTTCTCAAATAGAAAGAATTCTCGCCTTCGTCACCTCTCATTGCATGCCACGCGAAGTTACAGAAGAGAATGCATTAGAACATCGTTGCTACTGACAGTGCAAGCCAAACGAGGAAAGACGGCACATATGACATTTACTTAGATGCCATTAGCGCTCTTTAGTCTTTCTACTAAATGACAACAATGCTCTAACGTTACCTACAATTAAAACTCAAGTGAGTAGGTACTAGACTTTATATAAACGCCCCAGTGTACGCACTTTGTGTGTACGAGCCTGAAATACATTCTGATTTGCACTGTACTGAAGTGAATCGCACGTTTAGTACGTCTGACTGTCACCATTCTGCACGTCGGCAGAAAAATGTTGTCATTTCGAACGTACAACATGTCCGCAAATGAATTTCGATTCTCGTGACAAACAGGCATCCCGCTGCACAGTCAGCATTAGTGGATAATAATAGAACGTTGAAAGCGACAACGGTGGCGATTGATTTTTTATGATGACTAGTGGACCAGTAATCTAAAGGTGCTATTTGGAAGAGCTTCGTTTCGGGACCGGCCGCGGTTTTCCGCCATTAGGACCGGCCATACTATTCCTGTGATTCCTGCAATTCCTGCGATTCCTGTGGTTCCTGCGGGTCCCGCAACAATGTATATTGCGGATAAACAATTTATTTTAAAATTCGCAAAGCGCTTCGTAGTGCTGTGCATCGGAAATTGAGGAGTCACAGAACTTACAGAAATTACAGGAATCGCAGGAATCACCTCCTGGAATAGTATGGCCGCTCCCATTAGGCTGGGGTGGAGGACATTAGGTCGCCGAAAAAGGGCGGTCCCCGCGGTCATTTGCGACAAATACGCACCCTTGTACATGCGTTCCTGCAGGGAATCCACGCGGGACTCTTCCAAATTCGGCGACCTAATGTCCTCCACCCATTAGGCTGCGTTCATACTGATTCCCATGTTCTGGAACTGTTCCCGCACAGTTCTCGCATTGTGCTGAAACTGTGCGGGAACAGTTCCAGAACATGGGAATCAGTATGAACGCAGCCTTAGAAGATTTTTGAGCTAGCGACTCCTTATATATTAGCTAGGCTTGAGCTTTCTTTTTTGAAGAATTACGTTATCTTAACATTACGTGACCTGATAAGGACAGTAATGTGGAACAAAACAGCTAGGATATGATCACAACAACGCCTCAACCTATTCAGTTTCACATCATGAGTCAGGTACTGAGTTCTTAAACCTTGCTGATATAAAACTTCAAAGCGCCTGCAGCATAGTATTCCCACGTCTTCAGAAATTCAGAATTCATACTTTCCACCTTACTTAGTAATAATCTACAAAAGTAAGGTGGTGCTATACGTGGAACTAACGCGCGCTATCGTTTTCTACACAAAACGTGCATCTGCAGCGAACACGTTCTGCTAGTGTGTATATGCACACTAAACCGTACGGGGACGATAGCTTTCTGTTGGAACAGGTTTTGGTGTTTTGCGCAGCACTGTAACGATGCCAGATCTAGGACATAGCACTAACAATACGCACTTGTAACATGATAAAACAGCTTGTTAAGTGCTCCACTGCACCAGTGACTAGCGCACTTGGCTGTTTATCAACATCAGAATGGTTGCTTGATAAACATCCAAATATGTGTGTGGCAGTTTATCATGTTATTTAGCAGAGTTGATAAACAACCCAATGAAGAACTGCTGCAATGTTTCGTCGTTTCAGAAGTCGAAAACTACAAGTTGATGCTATTAACTTGAAAAGGTAATAGCGCCTCAACTATTAGTTTGTCGAAAAAAGTTTCGCTGAACGATTTAAGTGGACCAACTCTCACGAGTGCCCAACTTCCCGGTCAGCCCATCACAAAAGACTAACAATGCATATTAAAAAAGTGCCACGTGACTGCATCCGTTCGCGGAACACATTTTTTGCATTGCGAATAGCTGGTCAAACATTGCTGAGCAAACATTTTCAGTGTGCTGCCATGAAATATAGCAATGAAACATCACAAAAACTTCAAAGCGATACCTTAGTTATAGCATCACTTTATGTCAGATGTCTTTAGCAAGCAAAAGGCAGCAAATATGAGGAGCAGCTGCAGCAAAATTCTGCAAAGCAAACTCCTCCTTTTCAATCTGCGTCGGCTGAATCGGCCACATCTCCTCTTCAACAGACGCAGTCAATCGGGCGCAACGTCGCAGAGCGAAGACACGAACAAAGGGGGTCTTTCTCTCCCCAATCTTCTTCAATGCCCTCGCGCTACGAGTTGAGAGCACTGAAGCATTTCATTCGTCAATGAATGAAACCAGTTCGATTCGAGTTTTTCGATAGTTTTATGACCGCAACAAAAACGCAAAGGTCTGCGCCGAATCGCAATTAGCGTAAAATTACGATTGCCTTCACCAACGAGGTGATCATTGAAAGGATAAAATTGACAGGACGCACTTCGCACGATTATGAGAGAGATGGAGCCGGTGAACTTCTGAGCGATTCCCTCTAAATAACTTCCCCGTCCAGGTCGTTTAGACTTATAAAATTTCTCGTAAATAGTCTTACGGTAAGAAGAAGTGCAAATCCTGCAGCAGTTGCACTTCTTTCATGTCTTACCATAACACTGGGAACCAGTGCTGCTACACAAGCGGCCCAAATGAAGTAGGAAATGTCAAAGAAAGTGCAAAGAGAGCCACATGTCAACAGCCTCGAAATGTTCACTGCTCTGGACTGGACAGTCAGCAGTTGACACTGACATTTACTAGAGAATAAGTCATCTCAAAAAATTTACGCTACCCTACCAAGAAGTACTCGCGGGTAACACCCACGTGCCCATACTTCATAATTAGCACGTGGGATCACAAACGGGATGTTTACATTTTCCATCACATGGGATCACACCCACACTAACAAAGAGGCAGTATCACAAAGCTGCGATAGTTTATGAGTGTTCAGAAGAAACAATAGGGTTATGCCAAGGATCATTCGAGTGGTTATCCCTCGAGACAGCTTGGCATGGTGCCAATTCTGTGCTTTTGTGTTGTCGTCATGTACGTAAACGCAGAAATGGGATAACTAACTTAGCACACGATACGAGAAGATGCGTAACTTGATCCCTTAGTTTACACGTCAGCCATTCCAAAGAAACAGGAACTACAACTGAGAACAACACGAAAGAAATGAAAGATTTAAGAGCTTGTTGGAACATTCGAGAATCTGCGTACTTAGAAGCTCATAAACTAGAATGAAAATTGAAAACAAGCTTGGATAACAATGGGTGGTAAACTAAGCCATTCCACCTACGCTGGTTTTATAACAGCTATGTTTACACTTCAGAATTATAGAAGTTAAAGTACTACGACCTTAACTGAATGAGGGAAGTTGTACTTCTATTCAGCCTATTCTATTTATAGAACAATACTTCTTCAATAAAACTGGTCGAAAAAATAGCTTGAAAAATGATAAATACCGAAAAAATAGCTTCGAAAAATGATGAATACAAGTTTGGTGACATTTTCGGATAGGAACAGGAGAGCCCAAACACTAAATAGGCAAGGCAAGAAAGAAGAGAATCATGAGGAACCTTAATAAAGCACTTCCAACAAAAATTTACGCCGCCTTCTGGGCAATTTTCCAGCTTTTTGTAGTAGAAGAGAACATCATATGACTATTTCGCAAGAATACTCCAGCCTCAAAATGATTTGTCACCAGGTGTAGGCTACGTACGGATGGACCCCTGTGCAGTCACGAGACGCGACCGGTATGTGAGTTGGGGGCCGCTGCGCGCAGCCGCCGCGCATCGCCCCCGGATCGATATCGCCGGGCCGCCCGCACGGCGTCAGGGGGCCGCGCCTGACGCCGTCAATATCCGGCGGTTGTGAATCGAGGGGCCGGCCATTGCTGCTGAAGAGAGGGGATTCTCTCTTCAAACCCGCCCACGACTACTATGACGTCGAAGTAGTCGGAGACGGGAATAGGGGCAATGGCTAATGAGTGGGAATTGAGGCTAAAGATTCAGTTCTCGCTCAGGCTCTTCGCCTCTCTCTCAGATACGAAAATGCCTTGTTATTTTGGCGAGTGAATGTTCTGTGGTTCCCAAACCTTTCACAACAGCTGTTGTCAACTGCGTATCAAAATACGCATTCTGAGTACTCAAGAAACACAAAAATAGTGTTAGGATTTTGTGCAATACAAATCAGAATCATCTCACAAGACCTGAGATGAACGCAAAGTTTTGCCGAGACAACTAGCCATTCCCGGGTGGAGGACTATATGTCGCCGAATTTGGAAGAGTCCCGCGCGAATTCCCTGCAGGAACGCATGTCCGCGCATGTACAAGGATGCGTATTTGTCGCAAATGACCGCAGGGACCGCCCTTTTTCGGCGACATATAGTCCCCTACTCGCCATTCCCCCTTTCCACCAATTAAAG